TGGTGCATTGTGTAGCCCATGGGATACATGCATTTGAATTGTGTTGCTGCAGATCAGAACTGGAGCAGAATGAGCAAATGCCTTAGCTTTTATACCGATGCAATTTAAAAGTTTTGAGAAAAAAATCCTGCATAGATGAATGAGTACATAAAAATATTAAGCACCAAAAATTCACACAACTTCCCACATCAGATATCTAATGGTCTACCCCTTACCACATATATCCTAGGGGGCCAATTTTGTATATTTTTGTGTTATTTGCATCTCCAAAACTCCTACTTTTGTCCTACTTTTCTACACATTTTCCTACTTTATTCCTACTTTTCCTAAAATTCTAGTCCTACTTTTGTCCTACTTTTCTGCACAAGGATGCCAGAAAGCCTGTTAATAATTTGCGCTGCTTCACTTCGAAACCTGGGGCGAGTGACATTTCATAATAAGAAAAAAAGGTTTATCACATACAATCTTGGCATTTCTGAGCGTCTACAGGTTTGTGATTATTAAAAATTTCAATTGCTTTTTGAAAAGCCTTATTTTATTACTACAAACATAGCATAATGCCTGGATATAATGTGTGGGAAAACGAGACCTATATAGGCTTAGGGCGACGGTTTTTCCACGCTATTCGAGTTCTCCCAAACTACTACAATTAAGTGTTTCTATAACTGTATGGGTCATACATATAATAAATGCTTTATATTTATTTCTTAATATAACTAAAAAAAGATTTGTAGTAGACTCGGTATATTTACAAATTCCCATTGCATGCGTAATAATGCCGACCTTTGCTCTATCAATTTACTGCAAGAAACCCTTTTTGCCTTTATCAGCAAATATCGCTATAAGCCTAATTTCGCAACTTTTATGCAAAGAGTCTAACGAAAGGTGTATCCTTTGCTACAAATTCACGTATATAAAGAAAACGGAAAGGGAAATTCTACCGCGATACAGTTTGCCGATAAAGCGGTATTAAATCACTACAGAAAAAATAGAACAAATTACAGAAATACAAAACAAGCCAGAAGCGAAAGTGGGAAAGTTTTTGTATTTTGACTGTATTAAACAATTCTTAATTGTTTTGTTTACGATTGTAAGTTTAGGCGGGAAATTTCCCGCGTAGAAACACGCTTCTCGACCAATCAACGCACGCGTACTATAAATGTTCTATTTTATCATAATTTATGCATTTGGTACGGCTCATGTAAAGCACGGCAGTATAAATCAACATGTGCTTCAGCCGTGGAGCACGCCTGAACCAGGCGACAGGGCCTTTTTTAAGCATTTTCCCGTGGGGCATTTTTGAAAAGGGACCTTTCTGTGAGATAATATATTAGAGGGGGATAGCAATGGCTGAAAGCCACGTGTGTGGCAATTATACCACGCATGAATGGGGGGTCTGGGGGTGTACTCCCCCCGAACATTTTTGAAATTTGACTCCCGGAAATGTCATTTCCTGCATTCTGAGCATCCAAATTTGCTCCAAAATTTATCCTAACTATACTTGTATTTGAAATAAATAAAGGAAGAAACACACAAAAAGTAAAAAAATTAACCATCATTTATCATTACTTACTAGAGGAGGATAGCAATGGTCAGGTGTGTGGGTGTGTACTCCCCCAGAAAATATTTGAAATTTGAACCACGGAAATGCCATTTCCTGCATTCTGAGCATCCAAATTTGCTCTAAAATTTATGCTAACTATAGTTGTATTTGAAATAAAAGATGGAAAAATGCACAAAAAGTAAAAAAGAATATTAACTGTAATTTATCATTACTTATTAGAGGGATAATCCCAAGAAAATTTTTGAAATTTGAAACCGTGAAATGCTATTTCCTGCATTCTGAGCATCCAAAAAATAAAAAAAATATTAACAATAATTTATCATGGCTTAGTGGTAAAAAAGTAACAATTTAAATCGATTTTGTTAAACAAGAACAAAGGATAAAGCCTAAAACTTACTTTCCGTTTATCTATTTGTTAATCTTCGCTGGATTGTTTGTATAATTTTAGGAAAAAGGGACTTTTCCTGTGGGGGCAAAATGTGATTTCGTGGGGGGGGGGCACAAGGGGGACTGGGGGGGGAAATGCCCCCCAGCTTGTATGTTAAAAAAGGCCCTGCCAGGCAAACTTATTAATTTAGCCGTGCTTAATATTATGTGCCGTGCTTAATTGATTTAGACGCCGTGCTTCTCATGTGCTTAATTCATTGTATTAAGTTCGGATCAGTGAAAAGCACGGCGTCTAAACCGGGCCTAAAACCGATTGTTAAAAATTATACATGTTGATACATGTTGCGTTTTAACATACAATATGTTAAAATCATGAAGCGTCCATTATGCGTGAAGCACTGAAGCGTACCATTTATTAACGGTTTTAATGATCTTTGGTTGCAGTAACATGTTACGTTGGAAATTATCGTTAAAAAAAGACATGAATGATGTCACCTTTACCCGCTCGACTGATATTATGACGTCATTATAAAATCGGTATCTTGCAGATTGTGGCATGAATAATCGGTATAAATCGGTAATTTCCGAATGTTGCACAATCGGTCAATCACTATATTAAATACCTTCGTATCTGCTTCCATCCGGATATGTCATCGTACCATGACCATGTCTTTCACCCTCCTTGTAACTCCCGTCATATTTTGCACTGTTTGCAACAAAAAAATATACACCCTAAAGTAAGGTGGAAATAAAACTGTTGAACGGACAGCTACGGTCTGAATAGCCTCCTGTGCAGACGTTGTTAGTGGCCGAGGCCTCGGCCACTATAAAAACGTACGTCTGCGCAGGAGGCTACGGCCTGAAAGGATATACAACTACCTGAAAAATATAAACAGATGATTTCGACAGTTCTACGTTTCGAGCGAAGGTCCTTCATCGGAAGTTAGTAACTTTTCAAAACTATAGCGATTCCATAACGTCTTCTAATATAAATACGGCCATTCATGTTTCGCTGTTTAAGTCGGCTGATATATGGCCTGGTAAACCAAGAATGAACGAGCTTGAACGAAATCGGAAATCCTAACTTTAACCAACAAGCTATGATCATGGCAGCCATATTGGAGGAATTCTAACAAAAGAATATCAAAAGCAGCTATTGTATTTTGAGCATGTTTTCCTCCAAAGTGACCGCCATATCTTTGTCTTATTAATTTTTAAGACATTGATTGCAAACCACCGGTACGGTTAGAAAACCCCCTATACAGTGAGGCATGGTAATGTTGACGCCCAAACAGTGAGACATGGTAATGTTGACGCCCAAACAGTGAGGCATGGTAATGTTGACGCCCAAACAGTGAGACATGGTAATGTTGATGCGCAAACAGCGAAATAGTAATGTTGATGCATAAACAGTGAGACATGGTAATGTTGATGCATAAACAGTGAGACATGGTAATGTTGATGCATAAACAGTGAGACATGGTAATGTTGATGCATAAACAGTGAGATATGTTAATGTTGATGCATAAACAGTGAGATATGGTAATGTTGACGCCTAAACAGTGAGACATGTTAATGTTGATGCCTAAACAGTGAGACATGGTAATGTTGATGCCTAAACAGTGAGACATGGTAATGTTGATGCATAAACAGTGAGACATGGTAATGTTGACGCCTAAACAGTGAGACATAGTAATGTTGAAGCTTAAACAGTGAGACATGGTAATGTTGACGCCTAAACAGTGAGACATAGTAATGTTGAAGCTTAAACAGTGAGACATGGTAATGTTGACGCTTAAACAGTGAGACATGGTAATGTTGACGCCTAAACCGTGAGACATGGTAATGTTGATGCATAAACAGTGAGACATGGTAATGTTGATGCATAAACAGTGAGACATGGTAATGTTGATGCCTAAACAGTGAGACATGGTAATGTTGATGCATAAACAGTGAGACATGGTAATGTTGATGCATAAACAGTGAGACATATGGTAATGTTGACGCCTAAACAGTGAGACATGGTAATGTTAATGATGCATAAACAGTGAGACATGGTAATGTTGACGCCTAAACAGTGAGACATGGTAATGTTGATGCATAAACAGTGAGACATATGGTAATGTTGACGCTAAACAGTGAGACATGATGATGCATAAACAGTGAGACATGGTAATGTTGACGCCTAAACAGTGAGACATGGTAATGTTGATGCATAAACAGTGAGACATATGGTAATGTTGACGCCTAAACAGTGAGACATGGTAATGTTAATGATGCATAAACAGTGAGACATGGTAATGTTGACGCCTAAACAGTGAGACATGGTAATGTTGATGCATAAACAGTGAGACATATGGTAATGTTGACGCCTAAACAGTGAGACATGGTAATGTTAATGATGCATAAACAGTGAGACATGGTAATGTTGACGCCTAAACAGTGAGACATGGTAATGTTGATGCATAAACAGTGAGACATATGGTAATGTTGACGCCTAAACAGTGAGACATGGTAATGTTAATGATGCATAAACAGTGAGACATGGTAATGTTGACGCCTAAACAGTGAGACATGGTAATGTTGATGCATAAACAGTGAGACATATGGTAATGTTGACGCCTAAACAGTGAGACATGGTAATGTTGACGCCTAAACAGTGAGACATGGTAATGTTGATGCATAAACAGTGAGACATATGGTAATATTGACGTCTAAAGAGTGAGACATGGTAATGTGGACGCCTAAACAGTGAGACATGGTAATGTTGACGCCTAAAGAGTGAGACATGGTAATGTTGACGCCTAAACAGTAAGACATGGTAATGTTGACGCTTAAACAGTAAGACATGGTAATGTTGACGCCTAAACAGTGGGACATGGTAATGTTGATGCATAAACAGTGAGATATGGTAATGTTGACGCCTAAAGAGTGAGACATGGTAATGTTGATGCCTAAAGAGTGAGACATGGTAATGTTGATGCCTAAACAGTGAGACATGGTAATGTTGATGCCTAAACAGTGAGACATGGTAATGTTGGACCAGTGTAGGTGGGACGGTGACAAAACAACTACGGATTGAGAGAGATACAAGCTGAAAAGTGAAAAATACAAGCAGAACTTCGACTTTCTCGAACGATCTGTGCCAGCGTAAGTATATAGTGACAAAAACACCAGGAAATTGAGATGGATCCCTATTCAACTACCTGAAAAATACAAGTAAACCTTCAACGTTTCGAAGACTCTTAGTCGGCCCCTAACTTGATCCGACGAAGGGCCTTCGCTCGAAACGTCGAAGGTTTACTTGTATTTTTCAGGCAGTTGAATAGGGATCCATCTCAATTTTCACTTCGACTTCCAGACGAAGGGCCTTCGCTCGAAACGTGGAAGTTCTGCTTGTATTTTTCAGATAGTTGTAATCTCTCTCAATCTGCAGCGGAAATGTTACTCAGAGTAGAAAACGAAACACAGACTGTATCTCGTGCAATGCTTTTCCTTGATTTTCGGGCAGGTTACTCACCGGTCCATCTCTTTTGCCATACTTGTAATGACCATCATATATATCGCCATTCTTCAATTGTGCTTTTCCAACACCATGTCTCTCTCCTGTTTCATTTCTTTCTCCCACATATTCCTATATCATGAGTATAGGTAGTTTATACTTTTCTTTTTTCAGAAACGGCGATATCAATTTCCCTTGCGTATAATACAAAATGACTGAAAAACGGGAAAATTTGCAGGGCTATATTATCTGCATTCTACAACATTTCGCAACGAAACTTTGGAATCTTACTAATTTTGTGATGCTCTTTCAAGCTGTGATGAAATTGTTGTCTAGACTTGTCCGTAGACTGAAAATTTTGGTCATTAGGGAATAGGTCCATTGGGTTAACTTAATATTCCAGCTTAAACTTCCTGATTATTTTATTTCACTTCGTACCATACAGTCTGGTTATTCGGCGAGCAGGAATTTTGGCCAGGACTTGGTGGTCAAAATTCCTGGTTACTGATTTAGGTGGATAAATAACCAGGGGGCTCCTCCCAGCACATCGAGGTCAGGTCAAATATAACCAGATCTAGATTCCTGGTAACTATGAGAGGAAGTGAGATAAGATAACCAGGAAATCTAACCAGGAATATTAAGTTACCAAAATAGGATTATTTCTAGGTTGACTAGGAAATTGCTCAGGCGTCGGTTGTTCAAACCTAGTTCACCATTTTATGTTTCTGACGGATGCATGCAAATGAGTGAACTCGCACACAAAAGTATAGAGTCGCTTTTCAGAAGCAAACAATTCCAAGTCTTTTGCATGTCATTCATTCGATCACATTTGCCAGGAGGAAAAAAATCACCGACAAAACAGCTAGTGCGGTGAACTATAGCTTATCGAAGGAAAGATGGCTGTGAAACTCATCAGAACAACAATATAACTCGTTATCTATGTTGGTCAACATTTATTCATAAACCTGGTCTTTCCCCGTCACGTGTGTGTTGTATTTTTGCCCAACAAACCAATGGCAATATTTTAGGAAAGTCACTTATCCGTGACTCAAACAATAGGGAAATTGGAAATTGCTATTCCCCCTCCCCCCTATTGGTAGATTTGGTAAAAATACAATACACACGTGACGGTGAAAGGCCAGATTTATGAATAAACGTTGACTAACATAGATAATGTGTTATTCTAATGAGTTTCACAGCCATCTTCCCTTCGATAGACTATGGGTCAACCATAGCTTATCAAAGGGAAGATGGCTGTGAAACTCATCAGAATAACACTATATAACTCAATATCCGGTTAGTCAACGTTTATTCATAAATATGGTCCTTCACCGTCACGTTTGTTTTGTATTTTTGCTAAATCCACCAATAGGAATTTCCAATTTACGTACCTTATTGTTCGAGTCACCAGTAACTTTTAAAAAACATTGTTATTGGTTAGTTGGACAAAAATACAATGCGCACGTGACGGTGAAGGACCAGATTTGTGACTAACATGGATAATGAGTTATATTGTTATTCTAATGAGTTTCATAGCCATCTTCCCTTCGACAAGCCATGGGTGAACCAGGCTTCAAACCTGAATTAGTGCTAACCCTTGGTTAAAATTCAACCTGCTGTTTTAGTTTATTATTTCACGCACGTCTGTTTAATTCAAACTGAACTACAGTCTTACACAGTACATAGAATTGTACTGATTCAGACAAGATTTCTAAAGAAATATTCATAGGATTGATGTTTTTCGGGGGGGGGGTCAGTTGAAAGTTTGCCCGAATTTTTATGGAGAATTATAATGAAATAACCTGATTTTAACATTCTGTTTTCTGATAGATCCGCCCGAATTTTCTTGATTTTTCCTAGCATTTGCCCGAATTTCCATGGTTTTTCAAAGGGGCGTTCGCCACCCTGTCTCGTACGTAGTGGAAATATTTCCACATTCATAAACAAGCTGTTGGGAAGTTTGCCGATTTAACGCAGATTTTATATACACTACGCAACCTTTTCCTAAAAACTGTCGCATGCACTGAACCTGCTTACAACTTGAGTTGTACTGGGTTCACGGTCACAGTGACGTGTTAAATTGGCAACCAGTGGTAGTAAAGTCGGTAACATGCTTTTGTGTGCAGACGTTATGAAATAATGCATATCGTGATCGCACTGGAAGTTTCTTTATGCGCAAAGGATTTAGCTTTGACAGACCTGTTATTTCAATATTCTGGTTATTCAATTGAAAACGAATACAGTTGTTAGATATATTTATACCTGACATACATTGATCTGTGGACACATTCTTGTCTGTTGTATTGTGTGCTTGATTTGAGTGCAACTCAAGTTGTAAGCAGGTTGCATGCATGCATGTGAGAAATGGCCAAATATGATTTATTTAAAAAGCGAGAAGACGTCCTATAATGCTATTGTAAAAAAGTTAATGAAAATATATAAAGATATTAGCATGCATTTAGCAAAGACAGTTAGATAACAAAATCGTCATTGGACATTGAAATTATTTATTGAAAAACTTTTTTCCGTTCAAGCAAGATGTGTCGTCCAGTGAAAAGTGAAAATATAATAAAAAATTCCCTGCAGGTTTAATCAATTCGCATTCGGACGACAATGCTAAAACTCGTCGTTCATATAGAAATCTCTGGTCAGGAATGTGAAAAAGGCCAAAATTCTTGTTCCATCAAAATCTGTTTCTTTTTGTATCTCTGTTTTTTTGCGTTTTACAAATTGTATATTACTTACCCCTAAATCGCCGAGTAAATCTGAACCTTCTTCTTCAATTGATGACATTTTAAATGGCTATATCTCAACGTGCAAAATGAAAAATTTGAGTGAAAAATGAAAAATTAACAAAAAAACATTTTGTTGTTTTTTTGGTGATAAAATACCAGTTTCCAAATATGGCAGTTTTTACGTCTCCATGTCCCTTATCGTCCCTTCTTATCCTGAACCGTGCTAGTGAGCTCGATATATAACTGGAATAACATCTTAGGTGTCGCCTCTCGTTTTCCCATGGGCATAGGGCCGTAACTAGACCGATAATTGGGGGGGGGGATGCATATTCATATATTCGTGTTCTGCCCAACGGATTTCTTTTGAAAGCGATTGTTTTTACGGTATGTGAACATGAATATATGAATATACCACACCCCCTCAATTATCGCGTCTAGCTACGGCCTTGCATCATGGATTCATGGGCATTTGCGGTGATGGAAATATCACCAAAAAGAGACAATTAAACTTTGATAAACCAATGCGACCATTAGCCATTGGGTCAAACCAGCACCAATTTTTGGGAGACCAACAAGATCTCGTTTGGCAGTTTTTGGTGACCAAATCAACTTTCGCCGTAGCCACGAAAGCCGCCAGATACGCAGGCTACAATCTCGTCCCCTGAGCCTGCAATGCCTATAATATATCTCGTCACGAGCTGATTGTGCAGGCTATTGACCTGCGATCAGCCGTAGCAGGTTATAGACAATAGTCTGCGCATAGGCAGATATGTGTATTCACTTACAAATGCGCTATATGAAAATACAATGACGTAAACATCGGAATCTGCATACATAATAGCTACGCAATAAATCGCTTGATAGCAAATTCAGACGAACTTTATACGTAGTTTTTAGTGTGCTTGGCAGGAACTCTCCGCAGAGGCTTTAATATGCCGCAGCTTTCTTCATATCCAGAATTGAACTATAGGTGTTTACATGACGCAATATTGCTTTCAAGGTGAACTTTCAATGTTTTAGATTGTTTTAAAATTTTAATAATTCATGATCTGAGGAATAATCAAAGCCACGGGAAATCACTGCCGTGACGGTGATTTTAGCAGTAATTATCCTATTTTGCTATACAGGGTGTCTCAAAAAACCCTCAAAATTTCAATGATTTTGGGTTTTTTTGATACACTCTGTACAGGGTATCCCAAAAAAAACCAAAACTATTGAAATAACGTATTGTTAGAATTTGAATGCCTCAGCACTATAAGTAAATTTTATGCATAAAGAAACTGTTTAAGAAGCTGCTGTAAATTCGTACGCTTTACAAAGATATTTTTTACTAATATCAGTGCACCCTGACCCTGTAAATATTTTACGCATCTTTGCGTTCAGCTTAGTGCTATAGCTAGGGCATTCAAAATCAAATTCTAACAATACGTAGTATTTCAATAGTTTTGGGGTTTTCTGGCCGTAGTATAAATTTCGATCGATAGAGAAATGTTAAAGATTGTATATTTTTGTCGCCTGTTTTCCTATAGTTTATGCTCAGTATTGAACAAATACAACTTGAAATAGTTCTCTATTACGTAATTTATACCGGACATTTTGATGCATCAGCACAAGCCAACTGAAAACCACTGGGATATTTTTTCCCGGAGTTGTTGATGGTCTGAACTTCTAACGCATTTTAATATTTGTCCGGCACCACTATTGGTAACCAGTTCAAACAAGTGTGAGATTTTAAAACACTTGATCCCGGCCGCAATGTAAACACCAGGAACCTTGGGCAACTCTCTTTAAAGACCATGTCAAGTCCGTTCTGCGCATTAGTTCTGCTCATAACAAATGGGGACCCACAGAAATAAACATTGCCCAAATTGTGCATCTTTCGAACTTTTTTTAATTGAAACGTACTCTAGTTTCTATTCATTTACAATTGCGAACCGGTGTCAAGCGAAATTCCTGACCTCTGCTAAATACCTGACCTAGCGTGACGGGTCAGAAATTTCGCGCGTACAGGCGCGAAATACACGACGCTTGCTAAATTCTAAGTCGGCCAAAACTGTTTTTTAGAGTTTAGATAAAATAATCATGATGTTAATTTCTAATACTTCGTTAAATATTTCAAATCGACATCGCTAAGTTTCAATCACAAACACTTTAAATTTCAAAGCGAATTGTGTGGTCGTGACCGCGAAATACACGACGTTTGCTAAATACGGTCGGTCGAAACGATTTTTAAGTCCATATGCGATGTCAGGGGCGGATCCAGGATTTTTCGTACGTTAGTCAAAGTTTTCGGATGTACAATCTAGTTTTGCGGGCGGCGAATGCGCGATGCACCTAGGGGGGTCTGTTCCCCAGGAATTTTTATATTTTTAAACCTCCGAAACGCAATTTGCATCACTCTGAAAGCAGCTTCAACAAAAAATTAACTTCATGAAATGGGAGATAATTATAGCAACTATCAGTCTGGTTGACTCTTACAACTCGCTCCTTAGGGAAAAGTAAAGGAGAAGTACTTGCAGAAATGTGATAATTGTGGAAGATGTTTCATTTTATCAAATTACGGATTGCTAGTATTATGCTTAACTAGCTCATGATAGTACTACACTCATTTTTGTTGCCTAATAGCCTTGTTGAGTCATTGATCACTTGACTATAGTAATCACTACAGTGTCATATTACACAAATAAACATATCATCTATAAAACCTGACCTTTATATCCTATGTACACTGCATTAATGCATTTATATAGGTTATCCTCCATATTAATAGCCTTCTGAGTTCTGACGGACCTTCAACCGCAGAATTACAAATATGCAAATTTGTTGTGTAAATCAAAATTCACAGCTAAATCTAAATCAAGATACGCGTATTCAAGTTACAATTTTACATATGCATGGCGGCGCATCTTGTTCGCTTATAAATATTGTTATGCTGTCTAAAACGAAATAAAATTTACATATCACATTAAATTTACCTTATTGCACTTCAGAATAAAGATCTCGGCGCCAATACTTCTACTCAAACAGTCAAACCCTGTAGTTCGTGCTATTCGTGGCGCTTACGCCGCTTAGCAACTGCTCACTGAATGGAACTCTCCGATATTTAGCGTTGATTTTCCTCCCAAGATCAGCGCAACAGTCTTGTAAAACAGCTAAATCATTCACCGCAGTCCGCAAATGCGGATTGAACCGTTTCGTGAATACTACAAGGACTGGAGTCTGGAGCAGCAGACATTTCCGAATTTTCCGTAGATATCTTTAAATTGAATCTTTCGACAAAGCTACAACATTACACTTCGAACTATGCTTCGAATGAGCGCGCGCTCGGAAAGACTTTACCACGCGTCAAATATTAATGATATTCCGACTAATGGAGCGCCCCTGACTTTTGTAAATCGGTCAGAACTCCCCACAGATCAGTCAAAATCGCAAAAAATCGCTTGTTTCCATGGCAATAAGCGTCTAGACCAATCAAAACACTGGATTTTGACTTTTTGACTGACCGACTTTGCGTATGTCAGCTGCTCATTGACTTGACTAAGCTCGTCGGCTCAACCACTGTATGAAATTTGATCACTGGACTACAGTTCGATTAGAATGTTAATTGCTAGCGCTGCATGATAATAGATACTGGACTATTATAAGGTGTCGCTGCATGATAAAAAATAACTGGACTATTGGTCGAATATTTAAGACTTTAATTAAGTTTGCAATTTTTACGTTAGTCGCGTGACTGGTTTGACGACCCCTAGATCCGCCCCTGTGCGATGTTACCAAATGTTTCTAGCATTGACTTCGCCAAATCTAAACGGCCAACTCATGAACTTCGAACTCATCGTTGCTGCTTACTAAATAGTGAGAAGGTCAAACGCGAACGATTTTTAGTGCTTATAGTATAGTAATGCATATACGGCATAACCTTTGAAACTGGAGTCTATTTTATATCAGATCTAGTAAGATCGCTTTTCGAGTGATTTTTCCTTATCTACGATTCAAGGTTTATTATAACGTTCACAATCAGTGGTATAGTGTCAATTCAGTTGATCAATTGTAGAATTAATGTTGGAAAATTTATGTATAAATAAAATGGCTTTATAAATACACGTGTTGTCTGTTCAGTTGCGAAATTTATGAGCCAAAGTCATTCATGCGCATCGTCTGCGCATGGGCAGTTCTACAATAGTCAGATATTTTGCAAGTCAGGAATTTCGCGTCACACCTGAAACTGAAGTGTTAGATATTCAGTTAGTATGTCAGTATTTTACATATATAGCAGTTCAAAACGTAAACAAATCCTTTGTTTACATTACGGACTTGACATGGTCTTTAAAAAATAGCAACTTTTAGAAAACAACTTTTTATGGTTTTTTTGGGCAATTTTTTTCGAAATTTTGAGCAACTTTAATACTAGATTCCCCTTATTACGTTTTCGTAGCGCTTTGCATTGTGGTTATAGTGGTATCACTGATAAAGGTAGTGGCCTCGAATGAAAATATTGAATGTTTTCGCGAATATTTTGCTGTTGGCTATCGCGCACCTGACGCTAGCTTTTTTTAAATGTTCTTGCACGGGTCAGGGCAAAAAATAAGCCACTTTGAATATCAGTGATACCACTATAACCACAATGCAAAGCGCTACGAAAACGTAATAAGGGGAATCGTCAATTGTCTATAGTCTCGCGCGCCAGACGTTGCTCCATGGCCAGACTGATATATGGAGCTTTAGCCTGCGAACAGGTGTATTATACCCTGAAATCACAGAAATTACCGCATTGCCTAAGTTGATGTGGACTTTGCAACAACAAAATCAACAATATGAAAGATGAAACGTAATATTCACCAGTGGTTACAAATATGAAATATGGCCTCAGTTGAAGACCGAAGTCCACAACATTCAATGATGACTGAACATAGTCAAAGTAGGAAAAGGAAGCGTACTGAAGAGAATGGCCAAAAATCGGTAAGCATTTTTTATCATAGATCGTATTTTGGGCTACTGGCATGCGAGGCTTTAATATACTCTACGTGTACAAACGTGTTCCACTGTTCTTGAATGCAAATTGTGTTTCATGATTTTAATAAATATGTATTACAAATAAATAGTTTCATTGTGTGAAAAGCGTTGTCAGAAATGATAACATTTAGAGCAAGTATTACTATTAGATACTTTTTTAACAATTGACAAGGAGGTTGTTTGGCTGCGAAATGCGTTTCGTGAGTCGAGGCCTGTGTTAATTCAATTCAATTATTAAATTACACATTCTAGCACGAAATACTATAATAATACTAGGTTTTGTAAGTAGATTTGCGAAATATAGATTTTTGTGTGGAAAAATATATTGGTTAATTATTAACCAATTTCTGGCATTTTTATTCAAAACAAAGAAAGCTGCATTTTTAAATGCAGTACCTGTCACTTTTGAATTTCCTTTGACTGGACAGCTGGCAGCCAGCTATGTGGTGAAAATTCTAGCAATTGCACCGATTATATCCCCTCCCCTCATGCATGAACCCAACTGCACCCCTTACCCTCACTCAATCTAACTGGTAAATGTAAACCAAACCACTTCTTGTAAACAAAATGTAAACCAAAAATTCTAGCAATTGCACCGATTATATCCCCTCCCCTCATGCACGAACCCAACTGCACCCCTTACCCTCACTCAATCTAACTGGTAAATGTAAACCAGTAAAACATAGTAAACAATTTGTGGGTTAAGGAGGCTCCCTGCAGTTATATGTAGAATTTGAAGTTGGGACCTGGTCAGACGTCATTATCATGTCGTGCGCTTGGAAAATTTGATGTAATTTTTGAGTGCTTAATCTTGAAAAGAACGACACTGGTATTTTAAAATCATACATAGTTGAAATTAAAAGTATGTACTCCTTACAAGAACGTCTATAGGCCAATATAGGTTTTTATAAGCAATTGGAACATTTTCTATAGGTGCCTATAGGCTTCTATAGCAAATTGGAACATTTCCTATCTAGGCACCGATAGGCCACCTATAGACTTTTTTCATAAGGGATATAATGACATACTGTGTGTTGTCAACGGCAGTTTGAAAAGTTTTGTTTATTATGTTTTTTCGCGTTTTTGATGTTCAGTACAACTAGAAGACCCTGGGGACGAGGTTGCATTTACAAAATGTTCAAAATCTTTGACATGTCGAAAGTCAAAACAGTGAAATATCAATATTACTGTAGTGATGTAAAACTTGATTTTTTTAAATGCTGGTGACTACCAATAATTATATGTGTCACTGTCAGTAATATTTTATATTTATTTAATATGTAATAGTTAATATCAAAGACTAGCTTTTCGCATTCAACTTGAATCATCTAACTGTTTTACTTTATATATATGAGTTGATCCACTTTATGAAACAGATTGTTAACAAAATAATTTTAATAGTTTTGAATAGTTTTACAGGTCTTTATACTGATTTTCCAAACACCTCTGTCAACAAGTGCAAATTTAAAAAAGTTTCAGGCAAAATATTTTTCCATTCTTACAGTCTCAGATAAACTGTATTTTTTATTCTCAATAATCGCAAACAAATCACAAATATTATTGAAGTCAGAAAGTCAATGTGAAAAAAAAAGTCAATATCCACTATGTGCACATGTATGCAGGTGGAAAGTACACAAAATATTAGGTCCATCCATGGGAGTATAATCCCACAGGAAAATTGAAGTGCTGATTTTTCTGACGCCATTCACTAACATTTCACATACGGTAACATTTAAAAATAATCGTATTTTGTACTTTATTTCAGTTGAGCCGCTACGCAGGCTATAACATGTTCCTGTGTTATACAACTAGGCAATTATCAACATTTTATTTACAATTCAATTTGGCATGCAATCATTAATTTACCATTAATATATAATGAAATATCATAAATAACCACATGCAAAGAAACACTGACAAAAATTGTTAGAAATTGATCGATTTTAACCATAACCATATTTCATTGTAGTTTTTAATGAGAAGTATACAGGACGTATAAAACCTGCTTAGCGAAGCAGAAAGAGAATAAAAGCATGCTTCACAATCATGTGACTTAATCTAACAATAAGTGAGTCATTATACTAATGTTTATATGAAGTATTCACTTCAACAAAAATCACCATTGTTGTTAATGCGTTTGTCGGCAAGAATCAAAAATATATTTTGCCCTTAAGGTGGTAGTCTACCCTAAATCACCAAAATCACTGTTTTAGCTCTACCAAACAATTTAATCAATCATCACAAAATTTGGCACATACATAGATGACTATAATTAATTTGACATGTATGTAGTCTATGTACATTATGGTTTCCATTGAAACCGGAAATAACTACGTCTTATGCCTAAGTTTGTGGAAGCAATATCTTAAAAGGCAAAATAGGTAACATGTTCAAACTTTATCAAGTTGCTCAGATAAGTATAAGTTGAGTAGTATGGAATAAGTAGGCAGATTTTTATTTCATATTTTACATTTGTCCGAATCGTAAAAAAATGCAGTTTCCATGGCAACCAATTAAATATTGCATTTTTTTAAAAACTGTCTGCGTATACCATAAACGACCAAAAGATACAGGCACATACCGGTACTGTAAAAAAATGAAGGCAATTCATCAAATTTCCTTTGATTTAGAGTTTCCACAAATTCAACACTGTGAAAATCTGCTATTTTGAGAAAATCAAGGTTAAACATAAACAAATGTTTTGAATGGTCCAATTCAAAATAGTCCACTCCTTTCCTACAGGGTTCCAATAAATAATCATGATCTATATTATTTAGACTTGAAACAATATAGAACTACACTGTATAACACAATGGGAAAGTGAATAGCGACTAGAGTGTATGTAACTATATATAGAAGTATGTTAATTGCATCTTGCTCACTATTTATAGAGTTGTCACAAAAAACTGAACATACATATACATAATACTTTATTTTGACACGCTAGCCTCATCAACATCAGCTGTTTTTCATGAGGGGCGTGTTAACTAACTAATTACACAAATAATATGTACAAATTAAAGTTACATGAAGCATACAAAGACTAACAGGTAGACAAAAATATATAAAGTAACAAAACAAATAAATATTATTGAGGACAAGTCAGCTTCACCTCGCCATAGATTTTATAATTCTCTTGAATGAGTAAACGGAATCATTCAGCACCTTGCTTCAATAGACAGATTATTCCAATGTATTTAAAACTTCTTTTAAGAAATTCTTTCTTTGTCACGATTCCTAAGATCATAAGGGGAATTGCCTAAGGGGAGTACTTCATAAGGTTTATCATTCTCACACTTGATGAGTAGCTGCTATATATCTACCAGCTACTAGTTACCGCAACAGTAATGCAGGCAACCATCTTCCCTAAAGTCATTTTGCCACATCCCTTTTTTCCCAAGCAATATACCCTTCAACCACGGACCAGCTAATTCTTGCAAGAGCTACCAATCATCATGGCTTTTACCGGCCTTTTCCATTTGGATAAGGGAACTGATGCTTTCTTTGTTATGCTATATTATAAACCATTAATAACCCTTCATAACCAAATCGGATATGAAGGCATACATCTGTGACTCACATGATGGTACCCACCAACCCGGCTTACCACCATGACTGGTAGCTGCCAAATAGGTTCCCAACCATTAGTCCTTGGGGGATTAGTATTATAAAACAGAGTAATTTAGACATTTTCTTTCGTATTTGGTTAAAATAGCTGATTTGTTTGACAACAAAAACTGTATTTAGCTGCCATTTGATAAAAAAATTGCTCAAATATACTGTAGGACATCATCCTGCAACTTGAATCATGTTGCAATTTCATGATCAACATCTGAATATATGCTGCATAAAGTCCAAATATTTTTGTGCCTTGCGATTCATAATACTTCTGTTCCTTTCTATTTTCTCAACAGTAGTGCTTAGTAGTCCTTTTGGCCACACATAGTTACAACCAGACACACAAATAGCGGCAAGATTGTCCCTGACAGCCGAATAACTACAAAGATAGCCATTATGGCGGCAGCGCCATTACTGAACTTTTCAGCCCTTTCTTGTGTGTATTTATCAATATAGCCGTTTGTTTTCTTTCTCGTTACCTACAGTATCTTAGCTTTGTTCCATAATTATTCTTTATTTCTAGCATAATTGTAATGTCCGATGACTGCAGACACAAATTAATATCAGCACAATTTGGAAAAGTCATTTTTAATTTCCATACCCCACGGTGAAAACCCCGCTGTTGATTACACATTTCCAGTTCACTTTTTCCACATCAGTGCTCTGATTCTCCATTTAACATACGAGCCTCTAGTCCTGGACAAGGGTCGATGTTGATTTACGTTGGACAAATTTTGGGTCGGACACCAATTCACTCGGGTTGGACAAACAACAAACCTCAGTTTTACTTAGGTCAGACAGAATGTCCAGTGGTTTCCTCTCTACGTCGGACAATTTCACAACCTGGATAATAATTCACGACCTTTTAAGACCTGGATAATAATTAATAAATGTTGTTAAACCCAGTAAGGCATTGAGCTGTGTAGAGGGCGTGTAAAACAAAATAGGGTGTTGTTTTTCGACGACAAGAGAAAGGTAGTATACTGTAGGTATTTTACTTTTTTCATCTTTTCTCGCTAAAGTCAAGCTGTAATACTTGTTCGCCTTCAGTTTCGTGACCCAAGATTCTGTTTTTGTACGTCTAACCCGCGGAAGACAATCAAATGACTTACATTCACTTCATGCAAACAACATTCATAAACGACCTCGACAACGCCTTAGTGTTTGAAAGCTCAAACATTTTGACAAACCGTTGCCTGTTGCCGTACTCATGGTGCTTCAAGGGAAAAGCCCAATGATACGCCCACAGGAAAATTGAACTGCTGATTTTTCTGACGTCATTCACTAACATTTTACTAAAAATAACTGTATTTTGTACTTGTATTTCAGTTGAGCCGCTATGCAGGCTATAACATGTTCCTGTGTTATACAACTAGGCAATTATGAACATTTTATTTACAATTCAATTTGGCATGCAATCATTAATTTACCATTAATATATGATGAAATATCATAAATAACTTCATGCAAAGAAACACAGACGAAAATCACCATTGTTTTCATCTTTTCTCGCTAAAGTCAAGCTGTAATACTTGTTCGCCTTCAGTTTCGTGACCCAAGATTCTGTTTTTTGTACGTCTAACCCGCGGAAGACAATCAAATGACTTACATTCACTTCATGCAAACAACATTCATAAACGACCTCGACAACGCCTGTGTGTTTGAAAGCTCAAACATTTTGACAAACCGTTGCCTTTTGCCGTACTGGTGCTTCAAGGGAAAAGCCCAATGATAGTCACGGACGTCATCCGAAAATTCGTATAACTAATTTTGACGGCATTTTGCATCATATCGGTCGTGCAAAGTAGCAAGGTTTTGTCATGCATATAAATTATGTGTTGAAGCTTACCACAAACTGACACACACACAGTTTTCAATCCAACCCCTCGCCAATCTGACATCCGTGTTGACAAAAACGTCGCTTGCTTAAGGTAGAGTAATACGGGCAACAAAATTGATGCAACTTGCAACAAAATCTGATTTCTACGCATGTTAATTGAAAATGTTTACACATACATTACAAATGACGAGGCAACATGTGTCAACATTTCTACTTAACATGCGTTGAAATCAGATTTTGTTGCAAGTTGCAGCAATTTTGTTGCCCGTATTACTCTACCTTTAAGCGCCAAAGCTCAGATTCCAACGGCTGGAATCTGAGCCGACTAAGGTCCCTATATATTTACGCATGTACAATTTTGCATTATCAATTTCCATCCGATATTCGATAATATGATAAATAGAGTACAAAATAAAACAAATTCCGATTTATGTATCTTAAAACTCCAAGATATGGATCAAATTCAAGACAGAACTTTGTATGACTATACATCAGTGGCGTGCTGGCAGGGGGGGCCGGGGGGCCACGCCCCCCCCCCAGCTGGCAATTCTGGGGGGGGCGCAAAAATGAAAAGGGGGCGCCGTCCCGTGCGGAATTTTGAAAGTTGGTGGGAAAAAACGTATTTGAAAAAATATAGTACTTCCGTCAAGAAGTATATATTTATATACTGTAGGCTTATAAACAGATCGAGACTAAGCGCATAGACGACAAAGTGATATATTAAATTACAGACTATTTGGTCTAACCGTATTGGCTAATTTGCTACTTCACAGCTCACACAAAATCGTTGATATAGAAACATGATCGGTGATCACACACAATGTCTCATTACCGGAATATCTGGTCAGGTTTCGAAGCGATCACGGGAATTATGCCCTTTTTTGCTGGTATTATGCCCTTATATTATGAAGGTATTATGCTTCACGAATCACGAGAGCGGCGCGAATTAGATAGTTATGATAATGTAAGTTGTGTACACAATTTAGTTGTTTGTGCAAGAAACATCATGACTCATGAGTAATGTAAGTGATAAGATAATGCTGAAACGCGCCCTTTCGGCAGTCAAGCAAGGTAACCTTAAAGTGCATATGCGCGGGGTCCGTGTGTTATTGTATAAAAAGAGCTGTATGCCGGTAAATGTATTCAGATCACGAGATCAGTAGAGAATAGAATTGGGATTAGATTAATCGCTGGAACTGAGTTAGCATTGCCCAATTTAAATACTACTACTAAATTCTAACTAAATTTCAAATTTCAACACGTTATAATGCCGTTTCCTGACCATCAGATTTCTGTCAAACCTTCCCCCAAAGTCCAGGAAATGGCATTTCAGAGACCCTAAATTCAAACCCTAAATTCAAACGACCCTAATTTTCCGAGGGGGCATGCCCCCGGACACCCCTAGAGAAACTTCGCACCTGCGGCGCTCGGCTCGTGCCTTCGACACTCGTTTATCAAGCGTTACAATATAGGGGCGCATATTAGTTGAAAGCCCACTGGCCCCCCCAGAAAATTAGTACCCAGCACGCCACTGCTATACATATTTCGACTTTATTTCAAGCGTTTTAAGCCTTCCTAAGACCAACTGGAAGCTTTGAAATAAAGTCGAAATATATTAACCATATAAAGTTTTGTCTAGATTTTGATACATATCTTGGATTTTCAAGATCTGCATATTTGAATTTGTTTCATTTGTATTTTTACAATTGTGCATGTTGAGTAAAGAGAAAGAGACAACATAGAGTGATAGAGACTATCGTTGAGATAGCCTGAATCAATTACATCGCCTAGTGGACAGCGACAAATTTCTTCGTATGAACAGGAGAATTTTAGCGAAAATTTTGTCGCCGCGACACTGAGAATTTTGTCGCCGCAACATGTCGCACAAATTCAAACTGGTTTGATTTTGTGCGACCTATCGCGGCGACATAGTTCAAAAAATATCATCATTCCTCTTTGCACAGGGTGATCGCTAGATAGTATACTTCAAAATAAGGTTTCCGTTTTTATAACGTAGAAAAACTATCCTAACATAAAACTAAACCCTAATACTAACCCTTACCCTAACCTAACCCTAAACCCTATAACCTAACCCCAATTTATTTTAAAAATTGATATAAAAACGGAAACCTTATTTTCGCGTATATAGTTTATATACACTGCGATGTGCCATTCTTTGTCCCGACTTTATTAAATATTAGGCCGATTTCGGATGCACTGTCGTTAATTACATTTGAAAACTATACGTGGCAAACGTTATCTGACCGAATATCAAAACTTAATATCAGCCCGTCAAATTGCAGCGTGTAAACGTATTTTTAATAAGAACAAACGAACAAAGTTTGAAATTATTTCACCTATATAAAGTTTATGTAACTTAAATTGATGAACGACACTGTAACCTCAAATATTGTGCAGTATTGAGGCTAACATTCGAGTTTTTTTGCTTGATACATTTTATTGATTAGCAAATTAATAACCAATCATGTTTGCTCCAAGAAAGGTATGGAATATTTTACAAAACAAATGTGATATTTTCTAAAATGGCTTGTGATCAAATCATTTAAATGGAAAGTGTGCTAAAATGAATCTTGCTATTTAAGCTACATTGGGAGGGAGGCAGAGGAGGGGGACAGGGTGGGGGAGAGGGCAGGGCGGGGAAGCAAACTGGCTCAAAGGGGCTGTTTACATGATCCAGGTTTGCCGGGACGGCATGGAAGGTGGGATAACTTTGACGTATTCAAATAAGTCACTATAGGCTTAAACGAGAGGTTCAAACTAAACGTTCAGAGTGTGGTCGAGAAGATCTCAGAGTTCAAGAAGATTATTATTGCTGCTTGAACAACCTTTCATTTACAATTATAATCTATCACTAGAACAATTATAATGTAATTTTGCTGTCCTTATTTCAATACTCTAAAATCCTCCAGTCTCACATGTCCTCCCGACAAAGAGGGATCATGTATAAACAGCCCCTTGGTGTTATGTGGCCATTTTCACATTTTAGAATTTGATTTATTTAAAACTATCATGTAGGATTGTAGTGTTTTAAAGAGATTAGATCTATATTTTTTCCTTTTAATCTATCAGTTGATTCCTAGGAGATAATATGCACAAGAAAGGCATGTAAATGCATACATTAGCAAATAATTAATATGGCAATCTCGTTCCCAGAGTATGCCTGTTCACTACATGACCCGCGAACAGGCATACTCTGGGAACGAGATTGTTAATATGGCGAGTAGATTTATTAAGGTGACTCCCCACTGTCTTTTGGCAACAGGAAAATTTACAACTTAGGGTGGATTTTTGAACGATTGGTACTTGTTGATAAGGGAATAGTATATGTGAGCTATAGAAAATACGAGAGTATGGTCGTGAGTTAGGTCCGTGAGTCGGCCTTAATTTAACGGCCGTTGATTTATTTTGTTAGTCGTTTTCGATTAGTTAAAATAATTATTTACAACTCAGTTTTAAAAAATCGCCAGTGTTTAGCAGTTTTTTAATAATTAATAAATTGCGATTAAAACATTTCTGTGTGGATTTACTTTGCTCATAAATTTGAGTAATTTTACTCAATATTTTGAGTCACTGTCGGTGCAATATTCTACAAACGGGATACGAATCGCGTCCGGTGTGTCTCGGCCAACTTTTTCGCGGCGAATGTTTTGGCTGACCAATCACATTTTCGCTTCGCGCAAACAAAATTCGCTTAGTGAAAAACGGGCTTAAGGTCATAGAGATTATAAATAACACTAGAGGAGGCATTGTAATCTTAATTCAGTAAGAAAAGGGAACACGGCTATTGGGGCGGGGGGGGGGGCAAATTTAAGTCCCGGATGTGTATTCATGTTTCCATTGGTGACGAGTTTCAAATCAGCCAATCAGAGCACGATTTTATTTCCGGGACTTGAATTTGCCCCCCATTATCTGCGTTCCCAATTTTTAACTTCGATGCCTCCTCTAGTGTTATTTATAATCGCTATGCTTAAGGTCGTGTGTCGTGAGCAAAAGGTCGTGTGTGTGATGGGTATAAAAGTCGTAAAATGCGCTAAAAGCGCACGAAATTATTATTTTTCTACCGAAGTTAATTAATTTGAAAAAATCCCTTTTAAGCACCAACACACGTATAAACCAGTCCATAATGTCTGACTGTGTATGTAAATATGAGTGAAGTATGGTAGTTGCGCAGTGCAAAATGCCGTGATCAAAAAGTAATGTATACCAATCCATCGCGCTTTTCACTTTGCGGATTGGAGTTCTGACGTTGAAAATTGCATGCTGGGGAATTTTTACAAGACTTCACATTTCGTAAACATTAAAACTACCGGAGGGAATCCTCCTTATCTCTTTTCCAACTTGCTCCAACTATGGCGCTAATAATAGAGTTTTTATTCACAACTTTTGTATTGTATTTGTAGTATATAAGTCCAGCGCCATTTGCCGTGCCCTGTGAAGACGATGACGATTATGATCTTAATAAACCATTGTTAGTTGAAGATATCAGAGCTGGAAAAGGTTTTGTATATTAACATTCTTTATTATATAACACCTCCTTAAATTCTGGTCATTTAATTGGATGGTTATGATCACGTGATATACAATGAAAATTACTATTTTACCGAGCGTGAAAAGGAACGCGCTCAGCGTGTATTTTGTGCTATTGCATGAATGAAAACATTCATTATTTGTTTTATATAACACCAAAATAAAGCCATGTTGGTCGATATTTTACTGAAGTTAAATACGAAACGAATATATACCTGAGTTGAATGTACAATATTTAAAATTAATAGAAATCCAACAAATATGTCACAAGAATGTTTGAGTGAAGGGTTTGATGTACTGTAATAGTGGCAAAACAACAATGTCGTAAAAATAATATTTTTTGTGATTTTTACACCCGCCATCTTGTTTCGGCCAAATTATGCATTTGAGTTTAATTTAATCGGCCTCACTTACGAAGATTTGAATTACATGAGCTACGACTAGGATACGATTAAGATTTTGACGGATGGAATATACTGAAAATCAAACCGTGCAATGTAATAAAACGTATAGTAAAATATTTTCATTCGGTGAAAGATGGAATTTTCCACCGAATTTTGTATGCTATAGTTCATGTCTGTATATGCTTGGGTGATGATATGCTAATCCTGCGATTTTCTGGAGCCTCATGTCGATACTTCGGTGACTTCCGTAGTAGTACATTCAAACATTAATATTCAGTGTGTTAGTAGTTAATAAGTGTCCGATTCCCATCTGAATAGAGAGCAAGTATGTTCGTTTACAGTGATGTTTATTAATTTTTGTTTTAGTGAAACGACCAATAAGGATATATATGGATGGAATATGTGACTTATTCCACAGTGGTCATTCCAAGGCATTTCTGCAGGCGAAAAATATGTTTGATAATGTTCATTTGATTGTGGGATGTAAGTGCTGTGATAATTATGTAGATGATTAGTAATGCAGAACAATACAGTGTGTCATGTGTACCTCAACTATAGACTATCAAGATATGATGACAGGAAACCGGTAAACAGCAAAGTGCCAAAGTCAGAAAATAGAATTAAAGACCTTTGTTTGATGTTGAACTGTATCTCACCGTGCACAAATCCTTTGTTTCGACTTCATTTAATATTATTCATTCTGGTTGCACGTTTCACCTCGGCTATCTCTATTGGAAGATTACTTCATTATACATAAATACAATGAGCTCAATCACCTTGACTGTCCACAAATTAACATAAGCTCAAACAAAAACATAACGCAATGACTTCTGTTTAATTTCCAAGACCATCATATCTTGATAGACTGTGGTCAAATAGTATTCGTGAAACAGTTGCGTAAATGATTTGTTTGCGAGTTATTACCATCTGCAGTTTATTTTATATATGTCATTCTTTCCCAGAAAACGTCTTTCTTATACAGCGCCGCCTTCTTTCAGTCTGCGTCACCGAGATTAACCTAATCAGTGAACTCTATAAACACTGGAACGATAACTCCAGTTAAGCGACCCTAGTTTTTGGCTGAAGCCAAGATGGCCGTCAATAGAGTGATCTCTTGTAGGTATAAAACGCGCGTGTATTTCGCGGGAGCTGAAAATGACTTTTCAGCGCAAGGATATCCGGAGCAGAGCAACCAATCAGATTGTGCGAAAAGCAGTATAGACCCATTGCACTGACGTCACAAATCCTTAGAGTGTCCTCCAGATGCTCCCTAACAACATTTGTTCGGGTACAACAACCACATACAACGCAAAAATTAACCATTTTAATACAAAATTATTATAAACTTTTACAAAATTTGTTTTGTTTACAAGAGTTATATTATGCGTAGATTGCTAATTTGTCCTCCAGATGGATCATCACTGGCGCCGTGACGTCATGTGCGATGGGTCTATATCAACCTCCCGAGTATATGCTAACACCGATTATTCATATATTGTTTCAGTGTGCAGTGACGAATTGACACACAAGTATAAAGGTTTTACAGTATTATCTGACGAGGAAAGATACGATGCTGTCAGTCATTGCCGATATGTTGATGAAATTGTCCGTGATGCACCATGGGTAGTCACACCGGAATATTTAAAGCGATATAAAGTATGTGTATACCCTTCTCCTTCTTGTATTTAAAGAACAAAGCGCCAGGCCTTGTCCGCCATGTTTGGGTGGCAAAGTGCGCTGGGACAGTAGACCATAGAGATTGTGAAAAAACCGAGGGACAAATTGAAGCTTCCTAATGTTAACATACACGAGTCGGTTTCCTCCACATTTCTTATGAATCCTTCAAAACTTATAATTTACCTACCTATATGCAAAATCCATACTGTGATCACAGAAACATTGATAGTGTAAACCAGTCTTAGTGTCACGCCACCTGTGGAAATCAGCTTCGGTTGACGGGGCTACTTTGGATAAATAATGTTTTCTATCTATCTATCTGTTTGTTCGCGAATAAGCACCCTGGAAAGGCGATTTTAATATTGATATAGTATGCATCAAGGAAACTGTCAATTCTGTTACACTGAAAGTTATGCAATTTTGTTGGAATGTAATTCAGTTGAAATATGTAATTCGGTGCATTTTCAGGCTTTTCTAAATTAATTTGTATTCAGTATTCATGCTATTTAAAAAGAACGCATTTGAATGCGGATTGACTTCAGCAATCAATCATCTAAAATATAGGACATTCGTCGTTTTTTTGCAGATAGACTTTGTGGCTCATGATGATGTGCCGTACAAATCCGCTGACCATGATGATGTTTATAAAGAAATCAAAGAAATGGGCAGATTTCTGGCAACCGAACGAACCGAAGGTATCTCAACGTCAGATCTCATTGCTCGAGTCATACGTGATTATGATAATTACGTGAGAAGGAACTTGAAGAGAGGCTACACAAGAGAAGAAATGAATGTCAGTCTCATCAAGGTATATAATTCGATTTCTAGTCTTCTATTTGTCCGTATTCCCCGGCCTAATTCCTGCATGTGTTTAGCCAACTGTGTAGATCACATGATTTCCGTCGGATGGTATAGAGCTTGCATAAATATTTATTGGATGACGTTACGTCAGCGTTTTCAAAACAGAACGTTTTGGACACTGTTTTGTCAGACAGCCATGCGTTGCCGAAAACTTGCGAAATTTACAAAACGGTTAATCAAATAACTTGGGGGCGCTTTTAAAAAATTCTTAACTTCTTATGAACTGCCATTTGTGTAATTGAATAATAGCTAACATCAGGCCTAGAAAAAAGATTTTTCTTGGCAGCAAAATCCAAAAAACATTTCCTGTGTAAGTCAATGTAAGACTTTCTGCAAAGCTAGGTTTGAGATAGTGTGCTGTACTACTACCAGCAATCTCCACACATCAATCTCCACTCATCAATCTCCACTCATCAATCTCCACTCATCAATCTCCACTCATCAATCTCCACTCATCAATCTCCACTCATCAATCTCCACTCATCAATCTCCACTCATCAATCTCCACACCTGGCAGCGGTGCTGCTGGCGCTAAGGGGCGGATCTAGCCTCATCTGCAAAGAGGGGTGCCTGTTTTCCATGGGGTGGTGCACGAGGGAACCTTACTGCCCACTCTTTTCTGCAGTCTGCAACGCTACCATGCAACATTTCCATTATTTGAGATGGCTGAATTCGTCGTTCTGTTACATTTTACATTATCTTTTGTTTATAAAGTTTATATCGGCTTTTTATCACGTATACGTGACTGGACAGTTGCTGTAGCACAGTACATACTAAATAAAGCATCCTGAGTATTTCTCGTTAGCTCACAAATCAACTAAATCATTTCAAGAAATCGACACACGCTAACAGTAGAAGCTCCGCTAATCGCTATTCGAAAAGCAGAAAATGTACGATCAAGCAGATTGTTTTAGGGTGATGCTGGACTTCTCTAAGGGGGAGGGGCGGTGCTAGACACCACTAGGTGGGGTGCGCACAATCTCGTTCCCCGAGCATGCCCGTTCCCAGGTTAAGGGTGGACATAGCTCTCGAGAAATCGAATTGATTCACTTTGAATTTTCAACGTGAGTTCTACCCATGCTCAGCAATTGTTGCAAAATATAAATAAAGTATTTAGAATTTCTCGTCGAAAATTTGATACTTTTTACACTTAAATCGGATTGAAAACAACTAAAAATTATGAGGAAATATGTACGAAAGCTTCGGATTGATAGGGATACAACTACCTGAAAAATACAAGGAGAACTTCGACGTTTCGAGGGAAGGCGCTTCGACTTGTCACTTGTACTGTACTACTGTTAGTGTTTATATACATCGTGCTCCACACCAGAGAGTGAAAGCCATCTTCCAAAAGTTTTTATTTATAAAGCTTAATGTCCCATAATATGGGAAAAATGTTATTATAATACAAGAAAATGGAACTAATTATGTGCAGATTTATACTGATAAATGTCCTCAAGAATGAGTATTATATATTTTCATGCTTTAATTAAAATTTACATTTAAATCTCCTGACAGAATTTATGGTATACGTAGTGTTAACTGTTAAGTACGACAATATAAAAGGTCAAGTACTATATGTACAAACATTAACAGCACTGAGTCGAAGCGCCTTCGCTCGAAACGTCGAAGTTCTCCTTGTATTTTTCAGGTAGTTGTATCCCTATCAATCCGAAGCTTTCGCACATATTCCCTCCAGAATTTCTAGTTGTTTTCAATCGATTTCCGTGTAAAAAAGTAGCAAATTGTCGACGAGAAATTCCAAATACTTTGTTTATATAATTTGCAACAATTGCGAAACATGCGTAGAACTCACGTTGGAAATCCAACGTACTATCTGCCGTTAGCCAATCACAGGCCTGAATCAATTCGATTTCTCCAGAGCTATGCCCACCCTTAACCTGCGAACGGGCATGCTCGGGGAACGAGATTGGGGTGCGCACCCCTGCTGGCGCTGCCGGACACTTTCCAGCCCTGGCTAACATTAGTAATTAAGTCGGTTATATAATTGCAAAATTCATTAATAATTTGAGTTAAAAATGCAAATCTGTCCCTCACATTTTTGTTTGGTAGAATATACTAAGAATCGTTCTTACTTGTATCCCATTAGGAGAAAGAACTAAAAGCAAAGGCGAAACTGGGCGAGATTAAAGACAATATCATTCAGAAGTGGGAGGAAAAATCACGCGATATTATTGGTGGATTTTTAGATATGTTTGGTCGTGATGGAAGACTGGTAGGCCTTTACAGATCTTATTTTCCTTATGATGATGACGATGATGATAGTAATGAGGAATTAGAGAAACGTTAAACATCTTTAACCTTTTTCAAGCCAAATCCATTCCAAACTAAAACATACTCCCATTAGAAGCGCAGGTCAAGGTAAAACATTTTCTTGGGTCATAGAACTCGCCGGCATTAAAAAAGAAGGGATGAATCAATATTTTCACAGCTGGGGTTGCTACCAAAAGAGAATAAAAAACACTGAATAAAAACAAATTAATGAACGGCTCCTCATAACCCTTCCAGAAATTACGTCACCTTGGTAATAGAGCCTCGTTTTCGTGATTGAGGCGCTTTAACACGAAAACGAAGCTCTATAGCCAAAGTGACATACTGAAGGGTGTATTTTGGAAAAGGCTGGAATGGAGACCCAATAGACCTTATGCAGAATAACGTCACAAGGCTTGATGCCCGCGAGGAATGCTGGTCTTAGTAGTCATCGCCCGGGAAAATTTCGATAGTGGCCATTTTGAATTGTTTAATTTCCCCGTGCGATGACTACTAAGACCAGCATTCCTCGCGGGCATCAAGCCTTGTGACGTCATTATGCATAAGGTCTATTGATTCATGTCTTTACTTCGTGACCTACGCTGCCACCACTTCCCAGCCAAAAAGCTTGGAAGTTTTTTTTATCACATTCGTTAAAATCGTTCTTAAATTCGAGTGTTATGTGCAGTAATGTATGTCTTGAGTATCTAAATCGCAACATTTATACCTACTGTAATAAACTCCAAAGTTAAAATGATCGTAAAAGTTAAAAATTATCTAACCGAAAGCGTCGTCTAGTAATGCTAAACATAAATAGAATAAACTAAGTAACTAACATGACAGCCGTTCTCGAGTACGTATAATTGATTATTATTAAATATCACGTAAAGTATATAAAATTATTTAATACTAAAAGTTAGTTAGCATTGTCATAAAATATTTTAAATTAATAAATGTTAAACTTCTAACATTAAACGAAGTGATGTTAAAGTAAAAAGTAAATCAATAAAATTTAACAAAATGTAAAAAGATAAAAATGAACTAAACAGAAAAATTAATTTAACAACTACATCGTGAGCTGTCGTTTAATGTCTCAATCCGTGCTACCGAATTATTCAATTTTCGTTTTCTCGTTCCCAGTTCCCACGCGAAAAATGCATTTCCTAGCATGCAGTGAGCTCAATAAATTCGACTTTCTTCTGCTGTCGTCTCCGTTTATAAAGTTTGAGTTGTGAAAGTTAATGAAACTGACAAAGGACTGGCATTGACTGAACCGGGTGTCCCCCCCCCCCAAAAAAAAAAACTATGCACTGTTTGATTTAATATAGCAGAAAAACTATATAGAACAGCTGTCTTGATCAATTTTATCGTATCCAGAAAGGGCTGATATAATACAACAATATTTTTATGCAATATTTACGAGATATCAATGTTTCGAACAAGAAGTTTTGACAATACAAAATATTTGCATAAAATGACCTATTGTTTCTGCGTGGATAAACTAGAATATGTCACTTTAGTTGTGGTAACAACGAATGGACGGCATATTTGTTTCAAATATCAATATTTTATCAATTGAAAAAGGTTGCGAGGTTGCAAAATTGTAAATTTAATGGCAAGTAATTTGAAATTTAAGTTGGCTTCAATGAAATAGCCAATAATTATGAGCGAATGGCAACTGTACTGAAATTAGTTTAATAGGCCATTTTATGGAATTTATTAGCATTGTCAAAAATGCTTGTTCGATTTAAAACATTGATATCTATAGTTAGTTTTGCATAAAAATATTGTTGTACAGTAATATATTGCAATTAAAATGGTTATTGTCTTATAAGTGTTTTATGTAACCAAAGATGCCAACCATGCAGGCATGTAGCAAATAAATTTTGGCGTTCTCTTATAATATATGGATAACAATAGGCCTTCACAGTAGTTTTTTAGATGTTGCTACGGTACTCTGAGTCACCGCACACTGGTCGGACAAGCGGGAAATTGCTTGACCGCATGCGAGCTACGAGGTCAAGTTGATTCGAGTAAATCCTTCGATATCTTATGATTGTGGTATTAGAACTCAGGTAAGTTATATTAGCTGACGCGAGGGCGCTGTAAAACACAGCGCGCTGTGTTTTATTACGCCCTGCTGTTGCCGAGTAACTCCCGCATAGATGACGACACTCTGAGTGGCTCTCGTGAGTGGCTAATTAAGATCATAAGATTTAGCTGGATTTATGCAGATATTGAAGAAACTAGACTATAAGTTACAAAATACCATCTGCTCGAATGTCTGCACTATATAGTTTCGATTTCATTTTGACTCCCAGCACCCATTAGTTGAATTACAGTGTACGTGAATATCATTAAATAACACTTTACATGTATGCCAAACACTATACATGCACTATAGTTTGAATGATCTTAAATTTAATTCATTGTGTTTTCTTTGCGAGGGATCGATAAATCAGGACACAGCCTATGGTTAACCAATTCTATTATGAAAATTGATTGCTACTTTTTGCCCGCCAAACATGGCATTTGCATGGTTGGGAAAACTTTAATTTGGTTGGAGAAACTTTAATTTAATTTTTCCGGCAAATGTCCGACCGTTAGTTGAGGCTCGGTGTGTGTATCGTATACTAATAGTAAAGAGAGGTATATATCAGCACATTAAATGTTGGTTTGGATACGATAGTGATTGAAAATTCTTTATGCTCGTTCCTGCGAGTATTTGATTTTCTGGGCCGAATTTCCACCTCTTTGAAATTTTCCCCCTTCCTAAACACAATAGGTGCAGTCATTTTTTACGGTCGATGCGTGTCACGAAACTATTTGGTTTTTGAATTAGGTTAATCAACCATATAACAAAAGAACGCAAACTTTTTTTGAAGTGTTTTTGTTTCCATGCTTCGTTTTGGAGATATTTCGACTTCTGTGATATCTAACCAGGGCCTCCCTTTTTTAGCTTGGGGCTCTGGGCAAAATGTCCACCGCCCCCTCCCCTCCTACTCCCCCTTCTCGACCGCCCTTGTCATGAGTTATCTATTTGAACATCACACAAGTCGAAATATCTCAACGACGAAGCACGAAAACAAAAATCTTCAAAAGAACTGACTTTGGAGTGTTACGAACTTTTTTTAAGGTTATTGTTTTTTTAACAAGTTTGTTACCGCAAATTTTATTACTGAAAGTGATTCTTAAATTAATGAAAAGGGGTCAGTGGTTCCAACGGCTCTCTACGATATAATATTTTTGGATATGGACACTAACACAGCGACACCAAACACTAAAAATAATAAATAAATGAACAATCGCCTCCATGGAATAGATTTAAGAATTTAGAAAATGAGTGCAAAGGAAAATGGCAACAACGTGTTTCCCTAAGTTGAAAGAATGCTAAGATTATTTACAAATCCTCCCAAACTATTTTAGTTTTTGAGATATTTGAAACCAAAATTAAAACATCCTGCCATCCGCCATCTTGTTTTATAATTAATTAAATGACGTCATAAGGGTAGACATGATAAAAATAAAAATAAATTTTCAGTGGAAAGTTTCTACATAGCTTGTGCTTCAATTTTAAAATAGGCAACAGTAAGAAAGAATTTGCGATCATGAAATGGCCTGAGAATTGCTCATGATACCGAATAATTTTACCCTGGTTGTGATAATGATTTTGTTTGAAATGAAGTGTAATATATTTTATACCAAGAACGATATAGAAAATCTGTAAAGAGGTTTTGAAATATATTGAATCTCTCTTCCAAATGGGAGAAACTTAATTGTTATCGTTATTTCCCTTTAAGCAGGAAAAGACTGCTAAAACTCTTACACCTTATCATGGCTTTTAAGCAATGACATTGCTTTTTCTTGATAGAAAACATGGCTGGAAGATAAATCCGTGGACATGCAGACTGTCATCTCTAGAGCGCTTTCACCTTCACCCACACATTCAGGATCAATGGATGAATTCAGTTATGATCCCGAGATCAGTGGAGACGATTCTGACACCGAAGCAACAACAAGCAAAAGTCAAGATGTTCAAATTGACGATGACAATAGCGACGACTCACCTACTACTAAAATAAGTCGTAACTAACGCTATTTTCTTGTTATGCCGTAGGGATCGGTCATTATTTATGGGATCGGTCATTATTTAACTGGGGGGGAGTCGTCACCGAAGAGAACTGTTTTTCGTGGTGAAAATGTTGCTGACCCAACCATTAAAAAGTCAAACCTTCTTTACCAAACCTCAAATATTAATTAAAAATAAATAGCCACACCTGCGAAGAAAAAAAAACGTTACAAAAGGATACCATTCAGTTGTTACACATGTCCTTTACAACTTCTCTGACACGACTTTGATTCTGAAATTCTCTGGAGTCTAAAGTTTCATGATGTCTGCACATGTACTTTCTTTAGAGACACCATTTTCCTCCGAGAAATCGGAAAGTGATCAAGGTATTGACTCTGATTGATATACATATTACATTGACATATAACTGTTGTCGTTGGTTTTTAATTTTCAATATTTGATTGAGTCGTGTCTTGGAAATGACAATATATTATTTTGTTTTTCATTTACCAAACCTTTTACTCACCCAACCATTTTCTCTTCGGTGCCCCCCCCCCCCTCCCCATCAATAATGACCGGTCCCTTAACTAACGTTTTGATTACGTCAGTGGTGGGGGTAGCCTTATAAAATCACTTCTAATAAGTTAATGAGTAACAATCAAAAGTTGTTTACTTAAAATTTGTTCGATCCGAAATTTGAAATAGCAACCGAAAATCTCGATTTTGGTAACCTGCGATGAAGACTCTATAATTATGGAGTCTGCATCGCAGGTTACCAAAAACGAGTTTCTGGTTTATATTGATCACTGGTGTCAAGATAAAATTATCCAAGATGGCTGACAGCTCATTGCTTTCAGTCAAAATATTACAAGAATCAAGCAAGATCTGTAACAAGATTTTAGAAATAATTTTAAATGTCCTTTCAAATGAGACAATAACCATTTTTGTTGCTATTTACAACAGACCGCAAGCTGTAAACTTCAAATCGTATTTTGAGGTAAACACTGTTCGCTATATTAAAATTGAAGCATAAGTAGGCAGCTGCTTAGCTGCAGAAAACTAGTAGAACTTGCTTTCAAATGCGATTCGAAGTTTGCGGTTAGCAGTTTGCTGTAAACGTCAATTTGTTGGTCTCTATATATTGTTAATTTCGACGTGATTAGCCTGATAGGTGTAGGTAATAATGCTATGCACAGTATAATGTACAGTTAATTCCACATGGGCATGGCAGCTTCGATTGATCAACGAGGCCAATAGATAGATTTCTTAGTTGGGCAGTAATAATAACACAATTATTTAATTATAATATTATTCTTTATTATATACATGCAGGCTGGCTCAGTTACAACAGCTGTTATAATTTGAGGACCTGTTTAACTTAATTCACAACGTCAAATAAAAGTGGTCATACAGTATATATTGTGTACAAATTTTAAAAGTTCGTAAAAGTCTAAAAATTGATTACATTTAAAGAATAAGATAATCTATTGTATGTTTATGGTTAAAATAATAATAAAGAATGTTCTTCCATAAGTTCCTGTGGAAGTTTGTTAAACATCAACGCAATCTCGTTCCCCGAACCTGCGATCCTCGGGAAGGAACGTGAGGCTCTGGGATAATCCGTTTCAGGGAGGAATCTGATTGGCCGTTGATATGGAATGCACAGTTGAATCTTAGCATTTTTTAGCCCGGATTCATGGTTTCCGGCAACGGATTATCCCAGAGCCTCGTGTTCCTTTCCAAGGATCGCAGACTCGGGGAACAATACAATACAATACAATACAATACAATACAATACAATACAATACAATACAATACAATACAATACAATACAATACAATACAATAACATTTATTTAACGTGATCAAAATACACTTAGCTACAGAAAAAGCTAATTTACAGGTATTGCCACGCTAATATTAATTGATTTATAAGACTATAGTAAAAAGAAGACTAAATTAGATTTGTGGTTATTACATTAATTTGATCTAAGTGAAAATGCGTTAAACTGTAGATTGTCTAAGATTCTAATGTCGTTTAAACTAATACTGTTTGAAAACATTTCGTAGTTTTCTGTGGCTCTAGCAGTGTCAGGAAGCGAATTCCATAGTTTTCTGCCTGGTATCGCCAGGATTTCAGCCCATAAGTTGTGGTATTCACCTTTGGAATTTGAAGAATAAAGGAATACCGAATGTTTTCCGTGCAGGATTGCGTGATCCATGCACGCGAGATGTTGCGAGGCTTTCGGAAAGCGTGAAAATACACGAGCCGTAGGCGAGTGTATTTTTACGCTTTCCGAAAGTCGAGCAACATCCCAAGTGCATGGATCATGCTATCTTGCACGGGAAAACCATTTGGTAATTGTTTTATAAAATTACTACAGTGAAACGAGGGTTAACTTGATTAAAATTACTGATGAAATATGCAGTTCTCACAACAATCGTGAATTAACCAATCGGAGAGTCGCTACTCCACGCTATTGAAAACAACAACAAATGCAATCTCGTTCCCCAAGCATGCCCGTTCGCAGGTTAAGGGTGGGCATAGCCACAGAGTAGATAAGGCATACAGAGACGTAACTGACCGTTGTAAACACTGCGGAAGATTACGTTATCATGTACCCACTTTTTTTTCAGGCGACCGGGCAAAAAATGATCAACTGCGCGTGCTCAGCAAGTTTAAAGTGAGTCGTCATCAGGTCGTCATCCAATCAGATGCCGAGCGTGCGCACAAAAAAAGTGGGTACACTAGTTACGTCTCTGTATGTCTCTACTCTGTGGCATAGCTCTGGAGAAATCGAATTGATTCAGGCCTGTGATTGGCTAACGGCAGATAGTACGTTGGATTTTCAACGTGAGTTCTATATAAACAAAGTATTTGGAATTTCTCGTCGAAAATTTGATACTTTTTACACCGAAATCGATTGAAAACAACTAGAAATTCTGGAGGAAATATGTGCGAAAGCTGCGGATTGATAGGGATACAACTACCTGACAAATACAAGGAGAACTTCGACGTTTCGAGCCTTCGGAAGGCGCTTCGACTTGTGCTGTTAATGTTTGTATACATCGTACTTGACCTTTTATATACTGTCATACCTAACACTACGTATACCATAAATTCTGACAGAAGAGTTAAATGTAAATTTTAAAGCATCAAAATATATAATACTTATTATTGAGGAGATTATATTTATCAGCAAAGGTCAAGTACGATGTATACAAACACTAACAGCACAAGTCGTCAAGTCGAAGAGCGCCTTCGCTCGAAACGTCGAAGTTCTCCTTGTATTTTTCAGGTAGCTGTATCCCTATCCAACCGAAGCTTTCGTACATACTTCCCCCAGAATTTTTAGTTGTTTTCAATTCGATTTCAGTGTAAAATGTATCAAATTTTCGACGCGAAATTCTAAATACTTTATTTATATTTTGCAACATTGCCGAGCATGCGTAGAACTCACGTTGGAAATTCAACGTGAATCAATTCGATTTCTCCAGAGCTATGTCCACCCTTAACCTGCGAACGGGCATGCTCGGGGAACGAGATTGCAACAAATGTGAACAGAATTTGATCGCAACTTCGCGAAAATATACAGCGAAAGTACAGAGTCTTTTTCTATAAAATATACGAAATTTGAAATGGAAAACCAGCTAAACAGAAAGCCAAAGTAGTTATGAAGATTCTCCACCTGAATACCTGAAGATTGCGAAGCGTTTGAACTTTGAAGCGAGAGATGTTGTACACTTGTACTTGCCATGTTCTGATGAATTTCAACGCTACGCCTTGCTACTTGCCGAACAGCAATGTATCGATCAGAAATTTATTCATACAACTAAACCAACGTCTCAATAATTGCAAACTTACTTCAAAGTCGAAAGGTATTTTACAATGAAACTTTACAATGCCAGTATATTTGTAAAATTATGTGCAAGAATTTCTGTTCAGAATTTCCCGTGCAGGATTGTCTGATCCTGCATGACTGTTGACCAATCAAATTGCGTGTTTCACTGTAGTTATTATATAATATGTTTTCCTCTCAATGAATATTTGCTAATTTGCCTTAGATTTAGTAATTCCTTTAAGCTCGCTGGATAGTTGCTGTGATTTAATGATCTATACACATTACAAATAATTTTTTTAATTCGTTCGTGCCTCAAAGTTGAGAGTCCCAATTTTGCGAGAAGTTCCTCGTTGGGTGCGTACCTGTCCTTGAAAACAAAGCGGATCGCACGTTCGTTCACTTTCTCCAACTTGTCAACTGTGATCTTGTTACAAAAATGCCAGTTTTCAGAACAGTACCTGAAATGCGGTGCGATAAAGCACGTATAAATGTTAGATCTTATTTGGAATGTTAGTATATTTCTCATACGCTTTAAAACTGCAGTGTGTTGAGACACTTTCCGGCATATTTTTGCTACATGTTTTTCAAATTTCAGCTTGTTATCCATAGTGACCCCAAGAAGTTCCATTTCCTCGCAGTTGGGAATGGTTGTGTTTTCACAGCGAAATTCAAGATGGCATTTTGGTTTTGCCATTACGATTGCTTGGTACTTGGAGAGATTTCTTTGCATTCTATTTTCTTTATACCACTGGTCAACTTTGGCTAAATCAGAGTTAATGACTTTTGCAGGATCTTTATCTGCATAGGAAATCTGTGTGTCGTCCGCGTAAGCTGATAGTTTGCTGTGTTTGATAACATATGCAAGGTCATTCATAAACATATTGAAAAGCAGTAGGCCAAGGATGGAGCCTTGAGGTATTCCTGCAGAAATGTTCTCTCATGAAGAGTAGTTACTTCCGAGCTTGACGCTTTGACGTCGGTTAGAGAGATAGTCCGCGATTAGCTAGCGTCGTTGTCTTTCGGTCAGCGCCGTATTGTTTCAACTTCTGGACAGTTAAGTCGTGTGGCAGTGTTGGATCGTTCCTTGGCGAGGGGTGTATCACTCCAACGATCCTTGGCAAGGGGTGTATCACTCCAAAAATCTCGAAAAAATCAATCCCACTTTCATTTAGTTTTTAGTTAGTATGGTACTTAAATACTTAATACCACTAAAAATGAGCATTTTCGTGCAAAAATTGAAAAACATCGATCGGAAAACCTTATTCATTTTTCAGCTCCTATAGGTGAGGATACTGCATGTAATCAGGCCCTCCGCCCCTCGTTTCCAATTTCGGGGGCCTGATCTCAGGTTACGGTAACCTCAAGCGGGCAAAGGAGCTCTGTTATTACCTCGGGTCGGTACGACACCGAGGTCATAAATTCGGCTCCTATTTTTTTCCATTTTGTGTCGAGCCGCGCGCGTAGTCGAAGAGCCTGCGGAGGAGACGACAACTTCCGGTAAATAAGTGTACTTCCGGAAAATTTCAAGCATCGGCACAAAATCCGACAAAATTGTTGATTTAACTGACCAGAAGATGTGATAATTTTGACATACATGTTTAGCTGGATAACTATTCTCGAGTATATGTTCGTATAATAAATATGAGAGCCCAACATATAACTTTTAACAAAGCCATTAAAACAGTTTTAAAAGATTGTAAAGAATTTTAATTGTAACGTTTCGTCTTTAACTTAAGACATCTTCAGACTAGATAACTGATTACACGAGATGTGAATATATATAAGCTAATTATAATCTATTTACAAGGTGTTATGTTACTAAGGATAATAAAGGATAAGAGGGTGTATGTAAGACAGGACGATACAAATGAGGAAACAAAACAGACACAAGAAAACGGCAAATTACAGAAGGTTAAGCGGAATAGAGCTACCCTGGACGTTAAGAGTAGGTTTGAGTTTAGATATAAAAAGGCTTTCATGAATCAATAATTCACAAGTGTCTGAGCAAGAGGAAAGAATTTTGAAGTCGTCAAAGTTGGCAGAGTGCCCTGTAGTATTTAAGTGAGAGAAAATACTAGACATGACTGGACTGGATGACGGCTGGCCTGTTATAGGAGTGAGTCCCAGGTGTTCCGATACTCTGGTGTGTAAATGGCGCATGGTTTCACCCACATACGACGCGGAACAGCATTTTTTATTTAAGTGTCGATGCTGTTCCGCGTCGTATGTGGGTCAAACCATGCGCCATTTACACACCAGAGTATCGGAACACCTGGGACTCACTCCTATAACAGGCCAGCCGTCATCCAGTCCATATTCCGGTTGACCACATTTGCAAGCCTATTACTCGCCAAGTTTTTTAGATAGCTATACAAAACTATATATCATTAGAAAGCCTATATAACATAGATTCTAAAAATACTGAGGTCTTTCTCATACCTTTAATATTTATCCTGCCATCTAGTATTAAACACAGTGTATGTCTCATACAAATCACTGTTAGTTGGGAAAAAATACAGCCTTACCATTTTAATGAAATTTTACCACTAAGAGCTATTTGTTGACTTCAAGGCAAGTAGATTGTTTTCAGCGATGGAATTTTTTATGCTGCATGTAGTTTTTGCACAACATTGCTGCAAAATTTTGGTTCGATTTTCTTCTAACCTGAGTATCAGGCCGTACTTTTTAGGGCACAGGCACGCCTGATCGTGGGCGAAGGGGAGAAAAGTACGGCCTGACACAAAAGTGGCATTTTGCCTGGTTGTTCAGTCCAGAATCTGGACTGAGCGCTGATTGGCCGATTAGGCAAACGATTTTTAAATCTGTCATTTGATTGGCTGGTGCTAATTAGATTATACTATTGTTGTTGATATATTTTATAACGATCACAATTCACAACTACAATTATAGCCGGCCCACTAAACGGCTGAATTTAAATTAAAACTGCAGTAAAATTATAAAATAATCGCAAATTAGCGAAATATATTGCAAATGTAGCTTATATTAAATCGCCATCAGATTGCACTATCGACTGACGTATAGTTATAAAGTATACTTTATAATTATACGTCAGTTTGTTGATAAATACGGCAAGCGCCATGTAAAGCTCATTGTTGTCACTGAAACCTCTGCGGAGGAGAGAGCAATCGGGTGGCGATTTAATATAAGCTACATTTGCAATATATTTCGCCAATTTGTGATTATTTTTGTTAATTTTATAAGTTCATTGCAGTTTTAATTTAAATTCAGCCGTTTAGTGGGCTGCCTATGCTATAATTCGATTGTTGTTGTCGTTTTGTGAAATTTAAATTTCTCCTGCGACATTTTGATTGGATACTAAATATAAACTTTGCTGTGGGCGGAAAGCGATTAGGTTAAGTTTTGTGTCAGGCTCTATTTGTAAAATAGAGCCTGATACTCAGGTTAATTTTCTTCCAAAAATCCTGGCATATTTCCTCAATAAAATGGCAGCATTACAACATATGCCAAATTCTATCGTTGAAAACACTTATAATGATGAGCTCTATTAACACTGAAAATTTCAGCCAGTTTGGTCAAATTGGTAAAGAATTATCTTTTTTCAAAGATGAAAAATACCACATTTCGGGAAAACGTCTATAAAGTATAAGTTATCAAATATGAACTACCAACTGTTAAAATAAACACTATACTCGATATTTTAGACAATTAAAATTGTGCTCGGCATCCCTCATCATCAATTGTCATGTGAAGTCATTTCTTTTTCAAGATTTACTTGTTTATAATAAGAATCCTTTTAAATTTTGATTTTTCTACCATTCCGTCCAAATGCTGTTATGTCTTGCATCACCATTTGGTTTTCCCGCAGTTTGATGCTTGGTTTAAAAGATGTTCCTGAGTGTTAACAGGTCATCCCAATCCAGTTCTCAATTTGTATAGCTAAATTTTCCATCATTTTCTTTGCTGAACCCACTTGCTGCTAACAAGGATGTTTAAAGATGCACACGGCAGTGATGGCACTCATTGTGCTTACCAAAGGGGCATGCAGACCAACATTTTAATACCACAGTTTTTTGTATACAATCAATTGTCGATACCAAATTACATGATTCAATGGTAAAATAAAATTATCTGTAACTGTATTCTTGTGCTATTGCTCCAAGTGGTACATTCGGTAAACATATTCAGCCCAAAATAAGCTCTCAAACTTGGTATGCCTTGACATGTGATTACAGCACCTAAAATGCAGCACAAAAACAACCTCATTAATATTATGCACCTATCATCGTCTTGCCCGAGGGGGGTAACCCCGGGCGAACCTCGGGGAATACAGGGGAATGCAAAATCTAAACCGAACAAAGTTTGACATATTCCCGGGACCCCGGGACAGGCCAAAAACGAAATTCCCCGGGATCCTAGGGCGTGTCTATGAATTCTATTTATTATGTACGTTATGCAGATTTCCCTCCAAAAATGTTGAAACGCTGTACCTACTGTATCAGAAAGGTTCAAGTTTTGACTTCCAACACGTTTACCATTTATACCCAATCTAATACAGTGCGTCTACCCAATTTACCAATCAAATGTCTAAAAGGATTGTCAGAGGTGATGGAATGGTGAAGGAAATTTCTGAATCTCTTATTGTATTCAACTGAAGACAAAGTACAAAAACGAGGATTCTAAGCATTTTAATAAGCAAAGCATTTTTAACAAGTTAAATTGTCACCATACTGTACAGCTTTATATAACATGAAACTAGACAGTTATGTACTTTCACAAGACGTTCTTGGAAAAATTTGTGTTTCTAGACCGTCCTTAACTGTTGTATCAATGCCGGTAGGAAACGTTTTTGAAATGGGTTCGGGGCTGCCAAATTAATTAACAAATCTCCTTAAACGGCTACTGCCCAGGCCCACCAGCCGGTTATTACAGGCTTAATTACATTTAATACTCAAACAATTTTTTACTAAACATTGGGGTACAGTATCTTTAATATATCATCTAACAACTTAAACGTTTTCTTTTAAACTACAGTATATTTATCAAGAACAATAACAACAAAAGTATTCTGGCAAAAGTTCTGCTTCTTCTTCAGTAATATTTACACATTCGCCGTGGAACCAGTTGTCGCATCCATCACAGCAAACCATAAACCTACAAGAGTTGAGGAGCTTTTGAACATCATGCCATTTGTTTAAGTTGTCATTGATATTGCACCTTCCATGTAACGTTTTATACATTTAACATTCAAGCTTATATTGTTTTACCTCTCGTCATCAGGCGACTCAGGCTCTTGACAAATGCAATACACACTACCCTGTCCAACGATGTCTATAATTAGTAGAAGAATAATAGTACCAATATATAAGTATTCATCATAGGATCATTGCACTACAATTACTGTGCATTCTATAAATAAAGATCTTATACAATACTATAGCTACCTTATACAAATAAAATGTCGTGAACTGTATGTAATTACCTATTTCAGCTTGTGACTTTTTAGCTTTTCTTGTCGCAGCTGCTTTTGCCGCTCCACTCTTTCTTCTCTTTCCAATCGACACCAAATGGTCAACCCACATTTTAACCTCTGTTGCTTTTAGCAAAGTTTTCCTAGCTAGGTCCTCTATTTCTGCATCTGACATGGACTCTCGTTTCCCCAGGACTTTTCTAATCGTTGCAGAGGGAGGCTGTATGCAATCACCATCCCCTTTCACATTTACCCATTTCACGTTTTCCTCTGGAGTAAGGTAATGCCCAGTGCACACTTCAACGCATTTCTTGCAGTCATCAGTTCCCCATGTTTTGCTGCCCGAATCTGGAACAGGAAGTGGAAGATAAGAAAGCGGAGGGCCGTTTTCAAACCATTTGGGCTCCACATCTGGTTTACCTTTAGCACAAATTGGGTGTGGGCAATTCTTTTTATAACATAGTAAGAGCATGAAAATATAGTTTTCAGGAACGTTTTTGACAATGTGGTTGTTCCTAACAGTCCAGACTTTGTTAAAGTAGTTGAATTCTTCTGGACAATTTTCTTTTAGTAACTCCTTATTCTTCTTTGTACCTTGCAAAAATGTAAGGAGATTCTCTCTTCGACGGCAATAATTTTCAGAAAGTGGGTTGTTTGCACCTTTAAAAAGTCCAATGGGATTACCCGCACATAGGCTACCAGAGACGGAGTTTATGTATACATCCGTGGCTGCATCGAGATTTGTTTTGAGCTTTTCTTTGTCAATTCCGCTATCGTTTTGGTTTGATCCATGTATAGTTGAAGGTATATATAGATTTGAATGACCTTGGGCTAAGCAACCGTTTTGCAATTCAACCCGATTCAAATAACTACCGCCACTGAATCTTGAAGTAACAAGGGTGCATAGCTTACCATTTTTCAAATGACGTTCAGTCCATACAAATTGGACTTCTACATGAGATGGGCCTTCGTCCGTAGCTCCGTCGACACGAATGCACTCGACTGGCTTATCCGTTAGTACTGATTGTAGCTCTGGTATACCATGTAGCATAACAAAGTCTGCTGCATGTTGATTTGGATTCTTTTCATAAAGCATGGTTGGTTTAACCACGCCAACACAAACCTCGGGTGTCGTATCTGTTCCCATGAACATATAGGAAGTTGTTTGAAGTATGGATGAGTACTTGTTGACAAAATCTGTCCGTGTGGTTAATTCAGGTTTCTCTGCTTCACTTAAAATTCTGTGTTGTTTATGCGTGTATGTGGTGTCTAGGCGGAATCCAGCCGCATCATCCCTGTTCAAAATGATTTTGTCACAACCATTTTTCAACTGGATAAAATCCAGGCCTTTATATAAAGCGCAACTCCAGTGAGCATCTACGTTTAAACGGACACTAAAGCCTTTCCTCGCTCTCCGAGACAAAATTTTGGCTGCACCCCAGTATCTCTTGGACGAAAGTCTACGCTTGTTACGAACCATACACAACTGCACGATGGTACCATAACCAAACTTGGTGTTGTACTTTTTCTCAAGATATTCTTTGAGGCGGTTAAATGTTAATTTTTGACCTCTTCTTGTATTACCACTAAATGTTAGTACGCCAGTCCTTCGCCACGAGTCTGCTCCTATTCTACAATCTTTTGCAAATTCCTCAATGTCTTTCCCTATGTTGGGATATTTGGTAAGGGTCTTGCTGACAGATTTGGGTGCTCGACGTTTCAAGAATGATTTCTTGGCCACTTCTTTTGCCAGCAGTCGTTTCTTTAGTTTTTGAAGAGCAACAGTTTTTTGCTTTATTTTTTTCTGCAGTGCTTCATTTTCCTCACTCTTGATTTTAATCCAATCTTCAGGATCGTCACTTTCCGAGTCTGTTTCCACAAGCCCACCAGGCATCATTTCACCAGTTGTGTCCGATGCAATATTAACGCTTTCAAAATAGGTTTTCCTTGACTCTACGACAAGTTTTAAATGATCAGAGAGGAGTTCATTCTTGTGCATAAGTTCGTCAAAAAAATTGGTTGTTAAGTTGTTGAAATCTTGCGTGCCAATGTCATTTAAGGAAACCGCCAACTCAGCAACAAAAGATATCCAATTAAATTTGTTTTCCAGAAGAACCTGCAATAAACTTTGATATGGTGGCAAATCTAGATCTTCAGGATCAACATTTTTAATTCCAACGTATTTGAAATTGCTTCCATCACCTTGGTCAACTTCGTCATCATACACTACAATTTCGGAGTCCGAGACAGAATCAGAATATGCATCTGAATCTGAGAACCCAATTTCTGAAGATTCAAAAGTTGCTTTCATTTTCGCATTTACTATGTCATCGACTTTTCTTCTTATGGAATCGTACTCTTGAACAGATTGTGCCACGTCCTTTCTCATCTCATGCAGGTTACTAATTCCAAACAGAGCCTTTGCCTTTTCAGCAGATAACCCAGCTGTTGCTACAGTTTTAAGCAGTTTTCGGTCAGTTTCACTGCTAGCCAAGTTGCAAAGAGCTTTTAAACTTTCTCTATCCAATCCTACGTGAGTACTTTTATCTGGAATAAGGTTTTCGATAACCCGTGTGAGCTTCTGAAAGTCCGTCTGACTTGTATGTTCCAAAACATACAACACTCCTTTAATTTTTAAAACAACAATTGGAAGCTGCATAAGGCGCCGGATTGCTTTGTCAGTTTTGTATGACGAGACCTTAAAATGATTACAAAACAATGTTCTTAATTTCACTATTCCTTCACTCTCCACTTCTTTTGCAGCATTAATTAAAGGCAGACATGTTTCGCACTTCGAAGGTAATGACGGCAAGTGCTGATACTGACAGTAAAGTTTTCTAGCAACCTGAAACTCTGATAGGGACAATTCTTTAATTTGAGAGATATAACTACTCCCAGCATGAACATTAGCTGTTAAATTTTGTCCAACATATTTTTTGTATTTTTCAAGAATATTCAAAGCATTTGAACTAAAACAGGAACAAGAACTTGAACAACAACAATGTTTAGTCATAAAAAATCAGAACAATGTGAGGTATCTTCTTGTACTTCATCCAAAACGGGAGGTTCACTAGCAGAGACTCGGCGACATGCCGTTTCATGTACTTCATCCAAAATAGGAGAATCATTAGGAAACGCTGTGCTACACGAAGCTTCATTTGCATTGCTATCATGATTAGTAACTTCCATCCATTCATCCTTGCGTTCAGCTGATACTTCTCTTTCTGATGCTTTTGTACAAAGTATTACCAAATCATCTCCACTTTCAGAATCAGACGACAAACTCTCAGTATCATCCCCGCTGCTATCATTTGAGCCTTTGGAATTCAACCAGGATTTAAGAGGAGACATCTTTAATGTGGTTGATGACATTTTGCTTTGCTTTGGAACCCTTTTATTCTTCTTTATAGCCAAGTTGGACCTTACAATAGCTTTCTTTAAAATCTCCATTTCATTGACCTTCTTTTGTTTTTCTTCTGTAGTGGCTAAGATTCTTTTGTTAATCTCAACAGCTTCCAGAAATCTTTCAGAATTGGTATATTTCAACTTTTGTTTTTGAAGAAGGCCAATTGTTTCGTCATATGACTGAATGGCAAAAGATATCTTTTTCATTTCCTCGTCTCTGCAGTCGGATTGGACATATTTTCTCTTAGGCTTTGAAAGTGTAGATGATTCAGGTCCAAATTTTATAGACCTAGACCTCTTTTTCTTATAGTTATATCCCTCATCATCTACTTTCTCTCGTGCTTTCTCTAAAAGCACTCCGCGTTTCTGCAGCAATGCAACATTAGCTTTACATAATTTTAGGCTTGCCTGGTTGACTGCCTCTTGATAGTCATTTAGAATCATGGAAGGATTGTTCAGTCCAAATATCTTGCTTTGGCTTTCAAGCATCTCATCCGATATCAAAGCTTCGCTGCATATTTCTTCAGTTATTTTTTCAGTCTAAAAAACAAATAAAGATAGATAGATTTATATGATCTTTACTTATACAGTTGCCAAATCAAAGTCCTGAAACAATACAGTTGGAGCTGCATGCAGAGAAAAATCAGAGAGGTAGCTACATATATTTCGCAGAGAGAATGGGTAAATAACTGACCTTACCTATGTATATAGAGCATGGGTATAGCTATTGCATGCAAAGGTTGATAATATTATAATGATATATAATTTTGTATAATTATATATATAATAATAGCAAAAAGGAACCACTGTATATTAACTTTCTTTACAATTTCCTAAAAATATCAAACAGTTTACAGGTTGAAATCAATGGCCATAAAATTGCAAAAGGTGAAAAATACAGGATAATTTGAAAACGCACTTTGACATACAGTAGTTATGTGTTTTGTGGGGTTTTTACAGTAGTTTCTGTTCCAAAATTATTTAATTATAATCCCCTGTATTAGAAAAAAATGTTGGGATGAAGACGTTGAAGGAATATTATCATCACAGTATTTGAATTTATTGAGTTTTAAATTTATAATATCTTGCAAATTATATGACTCGTACTAGAAATATTGCTAATCAATGACCTCAGACTTACTCGCAACTTTGGTCCAAGGCAAAGGGAACCTCCTTTTGCAATCAAGGTTTTTTGTCCCGATTTTGAACAATGCTCATCAACAGCAACTACAGCAAAGAAATGTGCAGAGTTGAATGTATTACCAACTATTAAAAAGTCTTTCAGATATACAGTACTTTCATACAATATGTAGGTGGTTGCATTTTTTTATTGCAATACAATTTCCAATGCCCTCTAACTAATAAACGCTTAACCATCTGGAGAAATTACAATTTCCTACAGTAATAAGCTTGAAGACATGTGGTACCTGAATGAAGATCTCCACTCTCGACTAATTGTGCATTCTATGAAGAAATAAAACACAGTTAAAAATAACAACTACCTGAGGTTTAAATCTTACGTAGCTTTATGACGTAAATTTAAATCTTACTCACCAACCATGTGGATCTATCAGTTAAAATTACCCAAATAATAATTTTGGAGAACATCATGTAAATTATATGTATTAAACATAATTAGTCAGGAACTATATTAATGCGATAGACCGGTTCGACCACATGATCCGACAAATCACAATGTGTCGACACAATTTATACGGAGGCACATAGTACGATAACTTGGTTAAATACAGAGTACGAAGATGAGACTTGAAAGAACCTAATCAGGCTAATAAATGATACAAGGCAACTGGCGTTCCTATTAGAGTTCTGCTGATCTACTGGACAATGAATTTCTAAAATAGTCCTGTTTATGTTTATTAAAAGCTGGATATTTATAATATCTAAAAATGTAAATACCTTTTGCTTTTCTTGTTCCTCTCCAATTACATTTTCTGTCAGAAGAAAAATTTTATCTTTGTTCTGGATTTCATTCAAATTTTCAACGTCGATGTTTTCGTTCCAGGCTTCATCGAAGCGTTGGAAATAAAAGCGGGTTTGATTGGAAGGGCCAGGGTCAACAGGGTCACTGATACCAAATAGCAGTTTAGCCTGCTCAATGAGTTCGAATATATTTGAACACTTTGGGTTTATGACCATCAGCTTCTTTCGAGTTTCTCCAAAATGCAGAAGGACCTATTTAATATTATTGTACACAAAAGGGTGAAAAGACAACATGTAAATTTTTTTACACAAGAGCTAGAGTCAAGAGAGATGTACAGTATATTAAAATTATGTATGTTTATATATGCAAATTTTCTTGCATATTTAACACCAGCTTAAAAGAAAAAATGACAGATGTACAAGATTAATTTCGTGGATCGATGGATACTCTAGAAACAAATAAAAAAGATCCTTTTCATACCTTTTTATGCTCGATTTCCGCCATCATTTATCAAATATAGAAGAACATGACGAATGAGGCGAGCCCAAGATCCAATGGTCAGTGGTATTTCACTGGGTTTATAAATAGATCCTTCAGGATCCTTCAAAATGGTGACAATTGTAAATTACCAAACCTTGTAATTTCCCGACCCCTGGGGCCTGAAGTTTTTCAATTATTGAAAATTTCCCCAGTCCTGGGGAACGATTTCTGTTACATTCCCCCACTATTTCCCCATATTTCCCCGACCTTGTCCCGGGGTTACCCCCCTCGGGCAAGACGATGATAGGTGCATTAATACCAAGAAGCATTAAAATAATAAAATTATAACAATGAAGCAAGAAATAATGTATTGATATCTGTACTAAAATTGGGTAGAGGAAATTGATCTCTTGATATAATGTTGTAAATTTGCAATTTTGCAATAATTACTAATTACATTGTATTAAGAATGATTTGCCCCTTTAATACTGCAACATTTCGACTTAAATATAGTAATATAGTAGAATCAATCATTCAATGATAGAAAAATACTTACATCCACAGTTCACCATACACAGCTACTAAGTGCATCAGAACAAACGTTTGAATATCTGTTTATAAGATGCCAAGAATCCAAATACGATTCGAAGATGACTGTTGACATTTGGTATTGAATGCATGAATGTGTTCACGTTTTATCGTCGTCTTTATCGCGCATTTCTTTACCCCAGTGAATAATGTTTCATTCAATGTTTTCTGTGTACCATTGTCCGTTATTTTTAACCAAATGTTAAGAAATATATACACAAAAGTAATCAATATTTACGAAATATTGAAACACATTTTTCAATTTGCTCTGTTTGAATCAGTAGTTCTCGAAAAAACGCATACACGCGCATAATCTTCATGTAGATCCGCTGCAAAATCATCTAGAGATGAGCCTGCATTATTATTTTATATTGGGGAGGGGAGGGACAACAGTATATTAGCAAAAACATGAAAAATATGAAGGATGCTGCCTTTCGTTACCATGGCAACCAAGCTAAAAATTATAGTGAGGTTATTTAAAACAGCTCCTGAGAGAACAATTTTTTTAATTCAACCAAATAAATACTTTCACAACATCAATTACATGCCACACTAACTATTTAGCTCAAAAAATGAAAATCGATTTTTTCGAGTGGTTTAGGTAGACCCCCACCTTAAATACTACAGGGGCCCTGTAGTCCAGTGGCGTGCTGGGTACTATTTTTCTGGGGGGGCAGTGGGCTATCAACCAATATGCGCCCCTATAATGTGACGCTTGATAAACGAGGGCCGAAGGCACGAGCCGAGCGCCGCAGGTGCGAGGTGTTCCTAGGGGGGCCCTGGGGCATGCCCCCCGGAAAATTTTTAAATTTAGAGTCTCTGAAATGCCATTTCCTGGACTTTGGGGGGAAAATTTGACAGAAATCTGATGGTCAGGAAACGAGATTATAACGAGTCGAAATTTGCAATTTGGTTAGAATTTCCGTAGAGGAACTTAAATTGGTACGGTATCAGTTTTACTATAAATCTTTATTTTAGATTAATTGTGGAGGAATAAAGTCACTCGTTGAGTATATTTGTATAAAATATTTTGATTTATAATAAACGCCGATCTCACTAATAACTTGTAATGTTTTACTAAAACGGTGTGCTTGCACTTTATTCATACGAATCTGCCATGTTTTTTTGTCAAAATATACAAAAAGAGTTTTAAAATACTATACAGTATATCACTTGATAGTTACAGTATGTGGCCCAGTTTCGGGTCATTTCAGGTTTGAACTGCTACATCTTCCTTTTCAGGAAAGGTACGATTTTTAAATGCTCACTTGAGAATAGGAAAGGTGTTTCTTAACAATATTTCAAAAGATTGACTTTTCTTACCTTTCACTTTTAGAATTATTTATATTTTTAAGAATCATTTTAGGTGCCCAGTATCGGGTCAACTGCACCAGTATCGGGTCACTTCAAGTTTCTTTGTTTATTGTATAAAAGCGTTTGTTTTACGACAATTTTCGATCATTTTGTATAGTTTCAACATGTCTTAAGTTATTAACAATTTTTTGTGAGGTTTTGACAAGGTTTAGACATGATATTTCCAGCTTGAAACTACCTCTTCTACACAGTTTTTGCGGAGTGCGTTCTAAGCAGTGCTTCCACTTTCAAAGGTTGAAACATAGCTGACCCGAAACTGGGCCACAAAGCCAAACTAAAACGTAATTCGTGGGACCAGAATATATCTCTGAAATTCTGAATAATTGAATTGCCATTTCATATTTATATATTCTCGGCAATAATCTATCGTTAGGACAAAATTGGGCAGCCAGTTACATGGAGAATTACATATCAATAATACGATTTATTGTTATTAGTTAGTTTTACTGCGCAGTGAAATGAACACACTTTAGTAAAAGAATATAAACATACCCGGACAAAAGGGATTCTTTTTTGAATACAGTTCAACTAAAAAGCCTGCGAAAGCTATCATCCAAAAAAGGAAAGGTTCACCATTATATCTGTATATTTCATTTCGCGTCGCTTTTTATCTCGGCGGAAAAAAATGAAATCAAATTTCTATTGACCCGCTACTGGTACTGACCCGAAACTGGGCCACATACTGTAGTACTATTTTTCACGTGTTGTATCGAATGTTGATAACGTCAAGTATTGCCCATATCGATCGATCGATGTTCTCCAATGTCTTTAATGTTTCAATAACCATTGTCGATTTCTATAGCATTTCTAAACATTTTCAGATAAGCGCCTTCGACAATTCTGATGTCAGACCTCCAAGGCGGTAATAATCTGCTCCTTTTTCAAAGACATTAAAATCTTCCGTTCAGTGCCGGTCATAAGTAGCAATGCTTCAACTTTTTCTTGAGACAAAGACGAACGTGTGCGGGTTTGATTGGAATTGCAACTGCGATCGCGTAAACTTTACAAAGAGTTGGAAATGCATCAACTAGGTGGTAATCAGGATTCGACAAAATTCTCAGAGCTTCTAGAAATGATTGTTTATCCTTGTCCTTTGGTTCTTCAGCAGTTCCGTCGTCGCTTGACTCGCTGTCGGTTTCTTCTTCGCAGTCTTCGGTTTCAGATTCAGAACCGGAGTCTAAATCAGAATCTTTCTCTTCTTCTTTCGGTCTTCATCAAAAATCACTGAACACTTCGATTTTTGAAAAGATTCTGCAAAGTTGAGCAGTTCATCTGCACATCGGTGCGAGTCGATGTCAGCGGTACACCATGCCGTTTAAGGTTTCCTTGCCTGGCTGCCAAAAGGGCGCGCGTTTCAGCATTATCTTACTACTCACATTACTCGATGAGTTATGTTTCTTGTTCAAACAACTAAATTGCGTACACAACTTTACATTATCATAACTATCTAATTTGCGCCGCTCTCGTGATTCGTGAAGCAATATAAAGGCATAATATAAGGGCATAATACAAGCAAAAAAGGGCATAATTCCCGTGATCGCTTCGAAACCTGGCCAATATTCCGGTAATGCGACATTGCGTGTGATCACTGATCATGTTTCTATATGAACGATTTCGTGTGAGGTAGCAATACTGGCTGGTTAGACAAAATAGTCCGTAATTTAATATATCACTTTGTCGCCTATGCGCTCAGTCTGTTTATAAGCCTATAAACACATTTTTTCTTGGTGGAAGTAACTATATTTTTTCAAATGCGTTTTTTTCCCACCCACTTTCAAAATTCGGCGCAGGATCGGCGCCCCCTTTCCATTTTTGCGCCCCCAAATATTGCCAGCTGGGGGGGGGGCGTGGCCCCCCGGCCCCCTCTGCCAGCACGCCGCTGTTAACAGGGCACTCTGCCAACTTTGACGACTTCAAAATTCTTTCCTCTTGCTCAGACACTTGTGAATTATTGATTCACGAAAGCCTTTTTATATCTAAACTCAAACCTACTCTTAACGTCCAGGGTAGCTCTATTCCGCTTAACCTTCTGTAATTTGCCGTTTTCTTGTGTCTGTTTTGTTTTCCTCATTTGTATCGTCCTGTCTTACATACACCCTCTTATCCTTTATTATCCTTAGTAACATAACACCTTGTAAATAGATTATAATTAGCTTATATATATTCACATCTCGTGTAATCAGTTATCTAGTCTGAAGATGTCTGAAGATGTAGACGAAACGTTACAATTAAAATTCTTTACAATTTTTAAAACTGTTTTAATGGCTTTGTTAAAAGTTATATGTTGGGCTCTCATATTTATTATACGAATTCGTTTTCCGCCTGGCAAATCTCTGGCAACGAGTATATGTTGATGTAATGTACAATACTTCGTATGCATAGCATGGGAATACCGCGGCCAACTTTCACTTGTTTGATACTGCTAAGCATTTTATGGATGGTTCTTACTGTAACTGGTAGACAACAATTTTGCTAACTGTCCACTCATTACATTCTTCGACTGTGGTACAACTATTACTAATGATAGATCAGTTATATGCACCTAATTATATTTTCGGTACTTTGATATATTTTAAAAATATCTGAAGTGACTGTCGTTCTGCTATGTGCAATCAACAAATAGACTGATAATATTTAATAGATAATTACTGAGACCAACGGCATTATTCGATATATTGCAGCCAGCTGAGGCCGAAGGCCGAAGCTGGCTGCAATATATCGAATAATGCCGTTTGGCCGAAGTAATTATCTATTATAATTACTGACCCGAATCAAAAGTAATTATTTTCGGCTGGAAGACTACGTTGCTGTTTGTTGGGACCGTATGACAATGAATCTATCCAACGTTACACCAGACATTTGTGAGGACATGCATGTAATGCATCGTGATAGAACAGATTTCAGTTTAATTAATCGCCCTAAATTAAAATCTCCACAAGCGGAGGTCAATTATAGTGTTCTAGTTTACATATTATCATTAATGATAAGGTTAGTTCAAAGAGCGTATTAAACTGGATAAACACGGGAATAGAACTTATGGTGTGTTCTGCACATGCGTATATCTAGGATAAAATCCCACAAGCGCAAACGAAACTATTTCTCTATAAAGTTGAGCTGAAAGGACTCACAGCGACCATTTTGGCAGTGCTTCAGGCGCCCGATGATATTGTATGAGGGGCTTTAGCACTGTCAACTTCTCATCTTGAGATGTTCACGTTATCACAGAGTAGAGACATAACTAGTGTACCCACTTTTTTGTGCGCATGCTCGGCAAGTTACTAGATGCATGCATCTGATTGGATGACGACCTGATGACGACTCACTTTAAACTTGCTGAGCACGCGCAGTTGATCATTTTTCGCCCTGTCGCCTGAAAAAAAGTGGGTACATGATAACGTAATCTTCCGCAGTGTTTACAACGGTCAGTTACGTCTCTGTATGTCTTATCTACTCTGTGACGTTATCGCGTGTACTTGTCAGGATGACGAAGGATTGCGAATAATGTCTGTGTGCACTGATACGCGCTGCATTATTTTTAATAATGCTGTGGGCACGCTGCATTATTTTTAATAATGCTGTGTGCACGCTGCATTATTTTTAATAATGCTGTGTGCACGCTGCATTATTTTTAATAATGCCGTGTGCTATTTTAGCCCGTATAAACATTTACCCCTGGGAATTTCCCTACAATCAAAAAAAGACCGCTCCCGTTTTTCAGAAGAACGCTAAAACTTCTCGACATTCGCTGATATAATGCAGAGAGAAAACAATAGGTTATTATAACCGTCAGTAATTATTGTCTGTTAGTGCATAGTTAATATGGTTAGTGTTATACTAAATACAAGATGAAGTAGTGAAGTATCTATGTATATCATTCACTCGTCCACAAAACTCCCAAATAATGAATAAATACAGTTAAATAATTGCGGTCAGTAAATTCTCTAAATTGTTCCTGTATTTAACTATTATCAATAAAATGTTAAAACGGAGCTTTGATTGACTGATTCACCATTTATACTAGGGTACCTGCAAGGTAGGGATTGCTGCGGGCATTAAAAGCAAATAGAACTACAGTAAACAGCACAGATTATATCAAACACAGTGATTACTCGCAGCCACTAGTGAGCTGTGAATAGAACTGAGAACTGAGAAGAAGCAAATGAGTATATTGAAGTTGCAAAGACCAGGGGTTAAAGGGCAATCAGAGGTGACAGATATTAAACATGTGCGTCTCATTGACATACAGGTAAATTAAGATCAGATTTCATATGAAGTCTGTTTACTGCTAGGCGCATTTACCACATTATATAGACTATATACACAGATTTATCACACTAAGAAACCAAAACTATAGAACTGACAGTGGCCAAAGTCCAATACAAATGTAAGCGTAACATTGGACATGAAAAAGCTTTAGAAATTCGATAGAAATCAAAGACTCGAGCGAGTTTAAGATGTGTGTCCTGCGCGTAGAAATCGCGCACGACCACAATTCCATGCGCTAAATAAAATTTAGTTCAAAACCCCCTCTCTGCATATATTAGGTTGCTGCTACGCTCGCTCGCTTCAGGCTCGCTCGCTCCGCACTGTCCGCAGCAACTAGTGAACTATTAAAACTATCGTGATTTACACGATTTTTGCATATTTACCAAAATTACCAGACGATGATGCCCTATCCTATCCACCGACCCGAGGTTAACGCCGAGTGGGCGTCTTGTTAATTTTTAATCATGAAGTCTCTTGCTGTTATAGCCTGAAATTAAAACCTCCCATTTATAAATAATTTTACAGCCATTGTAATACTAGCGACTCACACAAGAGGAAGTAACACAGTTTACTGTATTCAGCGTATCGTCCGTGCTGAGCAATATAGCTAAAATGACAGCTTTTAATATTTCGCCCATGATTATTGTGGCAGCACTACTCTCAAATGCAGAATTCAAATTGGCGGAGTCGTTGAATGTCACGCGAGCTGCCGGCGATTACTTCGATAACCCAGACTGCGACTCGAATACATGCCCCAGAATCTGTAGCAGATATAATGCAGAATGCACCGACAACAATGAGTGTACACGATGTTATTGTCGGAGAGCATATGCGTTAAATTTCGTTGGGGATGGCAGATACGGAGGCAGATGCTTGACAAACAATGAAGTCGTTAAATATTCAGGTAAGTCAATTCTATAATAACTATATTTTAACATTTTCGGCATGAAATATTTTCTTGAGCTACATTGGAGCTAGCATAGAATGCTTGTAGCACAGAATAGAGGCTATACACAAGCCCGACTTTAATTTCGGTTTTTCCTATGATTTTGGCGAGCTAGTGGTCGCAGCATGCTAGTCGTGCTGGGTATGGCCAAACACTTTGCCCAAAATATGAAAATATGCATTCTTCTTTCAATAAAAATGCTTTATAAAATATAGTCGCCCCGAGTTTAGGAAACATCGCTTCCATTTAGTTAAATTTGTTAAATAGTCCAAAATCGTCGACATCTTTGAGCTTTTTAATAACAAAATGTAAAACAACAGTCGCAGCGTAATATTATGCAATTTTGCTCCATCACTGACCTGTTACCAAGCAACTGTTCTCTTTGTTTACACATCGTTTATTTCTTTGTCATGCTTCTTGCGAAGAGTATGATAGCTATATTATTTTATACAAGAAACCTTGGATTCTGATTGGATAATTGTCGCTCGCGCATGCCTAGTAGAGACCTTACGATTTTAGGACGCCGGGCAACGCGAATGCAATACAATAGATCATTGAAAAGAATTGAGTAATTACAATATATGAATAATTTAAACATTGTCCTCGCTCTGTTTACAACGCCAAATCACAGATTTTCACGTCTTGATACAACGGCTGCATTCCAAGCCACAACAAATGCAACTTCAAACTGGGTTTAGCAGAACTCTTACCAACCATAAAACCGTCTTCAACTATAAAACCATGTCTTCAACTTATAAAACTGTATTAAAGTCATACGATTGATAATATACGACGAACTATCTTTACTACCATTTATTTCAAGGAGTTTGTTTTGACTGTGGTCGTCGCGCTGCAGTCCTAAAATCGTAAGGTCTCTACTCTCTAGTATGGCCTTCAGGATGTTTTGGTCATGCCATTCTCGATTCGCATCACTAAAATCCTCGCTTAAAAAGCCGGATATGGCAATAAAAATTAACTTTATCTTATATTTGAAAGAACTTTTAAAGTTATATATGTAGACCCTTTACAACTTTTTCGCACCTTGCTTGGTTTTCGAAATATTTTGACCAAAAACAGTGTGCAGTCCGCCATCTTGGTATTATAATTGACCTAATTAACTGAGTTTTTGATGACGTCACAAGCAGGATAAACTTCGTCCCGGTCTCATGTAAACGGCGCCTTTAACATTAAAATTATTAAATTATGTGCAGGTTGTGTGATTTCCATATTTAACATGGAGTAAAGCACCGGTCATTATTTATGG